GGTGGAACAGCTGGGTGACTTACCATCGTGGACATTCAAGATGACTTTCTGGGTCTTGTCTCGGTCTGTGTTGAAGCCCAATCCACAGGCATAGACCCCACTGTCACTTTCAGTCAGCTCTGACATCTCCACTAGAAAATGAGTCTTGTCTGGACTTGGCAACAGAGTGATGCGATCTCTGTATTCCTCCTTGACAAAGTTGTTGGATACCACCGTGGCGCACATCCCAGAGCTAGGCATCTGCCGGCACAGGTACATCCGCACTCCTATTTCTCCAGCAAGTGGGCACTTGATGACAACAGATTCGCCCAAAGGTCCATCCAGATTTACTTGTGGGAAGATCTTCATAGCCCCAGAGACTGCAGAGAGAGGGAGTAGATTTAGAGGAAGCTCTGTCCATGATCAAATTCACAATGTACAGATGGTTGTTGTTTCCAAATCTGTTCTTTCACACACTGTTTCCATCTTAGCAAATTGTACTGTCACCCTTCCAATTCAAAGCCTACCCTCCCAAAGCTGGGGAGGCAGCTCAGCCATGAATGTCTGACCAACAAGTGGGAGGGCCTGCATTCAAATCCCAGTACTAAAAAAGAAAGAAAAATGGAAAAAGAGCCCCTGCACACCAAAGAAACTCTTCAAAAATACTTATGCTCATACAATAGAGTGAAGAATTAATTCTAGGGAGGTGTGCTTGTGTATGGATGTGTTCAATCACAGCGTCAGGTGTGTGTATTATTATTAAGGATTAAGGTGAGGGGCTCGGGAGCCCGCAGCCCGTGACTCTGCCTTGCTTTAGGGCAGAACCCTGTTCTACAACCTACAGAAGGTGTAGCCAGTGTGGGCTACAATGCGGGGTATGCCACAACACTGGGCACCCAATATTTGCCTAGGGCTACATCTAAAAGCCCAAATACCATGTGTTTATAAAAACTATGGTGCTGGGGATGAGCATCTGCCTGGCATGCACAAGGTTCTGAGTTTGATTCCTGGTACAAAACAAACAAATAAAAACTATAAAGTTATAAATCAAACTAATCAACTCCTGGGCAAATATCTTATATTCCCCTATCCTGACAAAGTCATGTAGTCCTCAAATGTCTGTTCTGAAGCGTGGCTACAGAAGGGAAACTGACTCATGCTTGCTTCCCCCAGCCTCTTGCTCGTCTCATTTTTCTTTTCATTCCCTCCTTCTGACCAGACCACAAGCCCTGGTGTATGAATAGGTAGCTGGCATCCCAGCCTGTAGATACAGGCTCCCCATCTCTGACCTGCTTCCCCAGCAAGGATCACAATAGAAGCTTGTACAGCTACCGAAAGAGGGCCAAATCCATCTGTGTGAGGAATTCCAGGTCTGGAAGAAGGATGTGGGTGTGGCACACTGAGACAGCTTGCTCCTCTCCCTGTAGGACTGAGCATGAAGGATGGCCCAGGGCAGGGACCTCTTCAGTGCAGCCAGGATGGTGGTGCTGGGCATGGCAGGCCCAGGTAACCTTTGAGTATCCTTATACCTGTAGAGCTTCTACTTCTGCCCAAGCCCTCTTCCTTCTCAGACTTAAGTTTAGCTAACCATCAAAAGGGCACATGTATCCCACACCTGACATTGCATTAAAATCTATTCCTTTGGTTTTTTAAAGACTTTTCAATCTTCAGTGCAGGAAGCATTTGAATTTCTTCCATATTTAAGACATCACAAAGAAATCAAATTTAACCAGGAAGCCTTTTTAACCTGAAGGGTCATATTTAACAAACTTAATATGATAAGCATGAACAGGTCACCCTGTCAATGGGATTGGTGACAGGTGCTCAGAAAAGGTGGCTCAGGAAAATGAGTGGAAGGACGTGGAATTTGAGACACACTTGAGGAACACATAAAGGGTGGAGCTGAATGGAAGGATGTTTCCAGCAGAAAGAATAGCTTGAGCAAGGGCAGAGTGGTAGGGGTGTGAAGCATATGTTCAAAGAGGAGCCGTGTCTGCCAGGAGAAAGTTCAGGGAGTGTGGTAAGCTCAGAGCAAAGAGGAGTGTGCCTTTAACTCCTTAGGCAGTGGGAACCACTGTGGTTTGAGAAGGAGCATTCTTATGAGTAGAGTCAGGCTGTAGGAAGGTTGTTTGGAACTCAAACAGACTGAGTTGGATCAAGTGGGAGTGAGTTGAGAAATGGTTGTATGTTCTTTTCCTTGCCTTTCCCTCTGTTACCACCCCCATAAAGTGAGACCCCTATTGTTTCTCATTATGGTAAACATGTATCTAGTAGCTACATGGGTTGGTCATTGGTTGGACCAAAATCTGGGAGGAGGTAAAGAGAAGAGGTGGTGAAAAACCATGCTGGAACTTTGTGGCAGATGTTCAAGATCCTTTTGACAGCTGGAATAGCTGGTTTGGAATAAGGAGTTTGAGATAAGGCATTAGCCATACTCCTTTTCAGATCTTGTTGTGATATTGAAGTCAGGGTGCACAGGAGATAGTGGTGAATTGAGATATGGGGCTCAGGAGATAGATTGAAGTGTAGAATGAATTTGGAAATCTTTGATTGGAGTTGAAAGGTAGAAATTCAAGAGCAACAAACAGCTAAAGAAAGAAAAGGTAGAAGTTATAAGAAAGAACAGCTTCAAGACCTCATATTAATAGATGAGTATGCCTAGGAGAGGTGACACGTTTGACCTTTATGGTTAACACAGAGCAGAAGTATGTGGAGTGGAAAGAAGAGCACAAGCAGAGAGAGAGAGGGGTCCTCCAACGCCTCCTGTGATCTCCATCCTTGTCATGCCCTAGATACCAGCTTGCAACTAAAACTTTCCAGAAACATCAGAGCTGGAGATGCCTGGCAATGGCTACCCCTGGCCAACTCAAGCCTCACAAGAAGTCTGAAGTGTTTTCCTAGGGGCACTTACCTGGAAGGAAGTAGAGTGAGAAAAGCCAGAGGTTCATATTTCTGTCCAAAGCGAGATCCCGTCCAGAAGCCCCTGGTGGGGGGTCAGAGACCCCAGTGCTCACCCAGGAGCCCTTCAAATCAGGACTGTGACAGAGATTCTGGCCCTCTTGAGGGACAAAAGTTTCAAAAATGAGGAAATGATAACTTGTCTTGTTTGTTAGCTAGTCATAATCTAAAAAAGAAAACATCAGCAAACCACAGGGGAAATCAGTTGAAAAAACATATTGTGTTTCACAAGAATGGATCAGCAAGGCTCAAAGGACCCCTAAGCAACCACCACGCCTGATCTTTCCTTCCTGGGCACTTGTTCTCTAGGGACCTCTGGTGACTCATGCATAGCAGTGGACTCCTCAGCCGGCGTCACTTTATGCGTGTCTTCAGAGCAAAAGAACCTGTTACCTATTCATGACATTCGATGAAGGTGATGTGGACAAAGCTTAAACCTTAAGTCAGAAGATGCAGGTTGCAGTTTGCATCAGTCACCATTAATCATTTGACACATCCTTCTGAGTGCCTCCTGTATGAAGGTGCCACTTGCTAACCTTTGAGTTGTGGCCGGCCTGGCAATGAACAATGTGGGTTATGACTGCAATGTTAGTTTTAACTTGTGACCCAAGTCTTGAGTTATGACCCCAATGCTGATTGCTTGTATCCCAGATGGTCTCAGACACAGATTTGAACCTTAAAGAATTCCAGAAGGAACGGTACAATATCCTTTCCTGTATAGGGTTAACTGAGAAATTCTGGGCCAGTGTCTCTCTAAGGACTTTGAGATCTGCCTGTGTATAGAAGAGAGATTTTGAAGGCTATGTAGAGGAGCCTGCGCCTTCACTGGACAACTTGAGTTCTACCAGCCCTAGGCAATGAAGTAGTCAAGGGTCTACTCCTCTTAGATATAAAATGAAGGCAGGACAAGGTGACTGCTGGCCTTCCCTCCTGTATAGCATCATTCCCAAGTCTTTCTGACAGCTCAGCCAGTGCCTCCAGCACTCCTCACCACTCAGGTCCAGTGGCCACAAGGCCAGTGCCAGGAGTAGAGTGGGACCAGTCATACTGCAACTCTGCTTGACCTCCCAGTAGCCTGGCCGAACTATCCTTTAGGACCTCGAGAGCCCAAAGAGCAAAGCCTGCTGATGGAGGAAAAGAGATGCCAAGGCTCTGAGGCATCACAGATAGACCTTGGATTCAGGTTACAAAGCTCAAGTCCTTGTTGGCATTTTCTAACTTCATGCAAGCTTGCTTGGGCCATCATCTTCCCATTGATAAAACAGGGACAGTCCCCAGGCTGACTGTCTTACCCATCTTTTATGACATCCAGCAGAATCAGTGACATGAAAGTGCTTTATGAGCCCCATAAACTGACATGTGCAGGGCTCTTCTTTGGCAGAGGATTCCCAGGGCTTCCTCCCTGGCTGTTTCATTTTGGACGTTGGTTCTCAGGGCCTCACACACTGCTCCAGGGACCAGGGAGCAGTGGCTGCCAGAGCTCCCAGGCTCCTCCTGGGTTCTGTTCACCCCACTTCCCTCTTGCCTCCGCATTCCAGATTTGTCACATGCTCTCCAAAACACAGAACAGCTTCCGCAGCTGAGGTCAAGTGTGCGGCTCAGAGCAGGTGCAGAGGAAACACATGCGGGGGTGGCTGCTGCTCCGCCTTCCCCATCTGGGTCTGTGCAGCTCAAAGCAGCTGTCCGCGTGATGTCTTCCAGCCAGCAAATGAGCAGTTCGGCCTCCGATTAGAGTGACGGTGGAAGCAGCAGCTGGCATCCGAGCCCTCCCTTCCTACTGAGCCGCTCCCTTGCCCTGTAGCTGTCCCACAGCTGGGCTGTGCCATCCAGCTGCGGGAGGGTGGGGCTGTCCTGCAGACCCAGGCAGATAGAGAAAGAATATGAATGGGCAGGGTTGCTGTGCATAACTGCAAGTGTAGGTGTGAGGGTGTGAGGTACAGGGCGGGGCGACTTGTGAGTGTGCGGCAAGTGTCATGTGATCTCTGAACCTGGAGTGTGTAGTACACACTGTGTGGCCATGAGTAAATGGATCTGCAATGTTTATGTTGTGGTGTATGTGTAAGGTGTGGCGTGGGATGCATACAGTACACCATACATGTGTGTGGTGTGGTGTGATGCATGAGTGGGTGAATGTCTATGCTGATCAGGCTGGGGTGGGCAGCATGGTGGCTAGGGCCTGCCAGGCAGCGCTGCGTATGTGCTGATGAGAGAAGACAGGAGAGCGTTCGTGTGTGCTGCCCACGTATCACTTAGGGCCAAGATCAAGAATAAGGCGTCTGAGTGCTGTCAGGTGAGAGGTGACACAAGCAATTGGAGCTCCCAGACCTGGGCTGGCCCAGCCTGCTTGCAGCATCCCAGGGTCTTGTGTTGGGGCTCAAGGGAAGACTGGCCCCTGGGTAACCTATGCAGTTGCTCCCTTGTCTTTCTTTTTTTTGTGTAAACTTGACCTTCTTGGTACTTGCAGGCTACTGTGTTGTCCTGCTGCTCTTCCTCCAGGAGCAGGCCAGGCTGTAGCACATGAGGGACAGGGGACTCAATGGCTCATACTTTGTAGGGGCTGCAAGGGAGGAGCCTGATTTAAGAAAAACTTTCAGGGCCCAAAGACAGGCCGGTGGAAGGAGTAAATCATACCACTGCCCTCGGAGGTATTCAGATCCCGTAGGTGAATCCGTATATCCTCCATGAGTTCTTCTTCACTTAGGCTTTGCTGTCCTCCCCCATCACAGCATTTCTTCTGAGGTGGCTGGGGAGGTAGCATGAGGCCAGCCTTGCAAGAGCTTGGCATGCGGTCTGGAGGTAGGACGAGTGGATGGAGATTTGCCTTGCATGGCTGAGGTGGCTGTTATGGGTTCTGCTGGTGGTTGCCTTATTCTCCCCCCCGACTCCCAGCCAGGCTCCACAGAGTCATCTCCACGCCTGTCTGAATGGAGACCCTCCTCATGTCTCAGTGCTACTCTCTACAGTGATCAATCATACCAATCCTTCTGCCCGGTGAACTCTCCAGGGAGCCCCTCCCCGCCAAAGGGAATTTAATGTGATTTATCTGGGAAATCCTGAATTTTAGGATGTTCTCATCTCTCTCTTCAGGACAAAGATTTTGGGCTCTAGTGAGAGTGTATTGGCCGCACGTTTGTCTTCTTTCTTTTCTGTGTTGCTGGGGGTGGAATCCAGGGCCTTGTGTGTGCTAAGAAATTGCTCTCTGCTGAGCTCCTCTCCCAGCCCAGGAATGCCCTTTGCTTTCCAAGGCTTAGGTGAGAAGCTCGAAAGCTCCTTGGCTTGCATGGTTGGTGATTTCCCCATTCCTGCCTGAGCTTCCTGGCCACCTGGGAAACACTGGGCTTAGTCTCCCCCCCACCATTGGTCTTAGTCTTGCATCTTCTCTGTCATGTATGTGCCCACTGCCCACTTAGATATGTTTTTTTGAGATAGTCCCTATTTTTATTATACACACTTCCTAGAGGAATTAATTCTTTTGGGGAGAATAAGAAGTAGGAACTCTGCTTCTCTGGCTTGGGAACCAGCTCTACAGACCATACGGTGGGCAATTTTTCTCTATGTCTTCTAAAGTTCTTAGGAGAGTTTCTTTGTTCTGAGGTATGGAAAGTTCAGGGAAAATATTTTTAGCTTCACAAAACCAAATTAATTGCAGTAACAAATTTCTTTTAGCAACGCAAAAGTCACATCATTACCTAACAGACTTTTAAAAAGAGAAAAAAGGGCCAGTGAGAGAGCTAAGCAGACTAAGCGCCTGCTTAGGCAAGCGCAGGAACCAGGGTTCGATCCCCAGCACCACAGGCCACACAGGACCCCTCCACCCCACCTTAAGGGTTGAGCTGGCAACAGAGACCAGGTATGGTGGCTCATGCTTGTAATCTCAGTGCTGGAGAGGCTGAAAACAGAAGGATCACTACGAGTCTGAGCTGCATAGTGAAACCCTGTACCAAAAACATTTTTTTAAAAACCCACAATAAAAAGAGAAAAATAAAAAAGATACTCTAAGAACTTGGAAAGGATTTCCACATTGTCAGACATTTAAGTAGTACCTGAATGGCTGTGGTCATTGGAACTGATGTATTAGCAGTCACCAGTCAATTGTTACTCTCGTGTGTGGGGATAAATGATGCCTTCCCGAGATGCAAGTCCTCCGTTATGGGTTTCCTCCCAGGCTGCACAGAAAGCAGATGGGCTTTGGCAGAACACTGGTTGACTTGCTATCTGCTACTGCCAATCTCTGGTTAGAAATGAAGTAAGATTGCTTGTGGGTTTAGTGACTTCTCTCAGCCTTTGATTCCAGTGTTCGGGGTAGGATACACAAGCTTGCTGTTGGCTCATGGGTTCTTGGCCCACTAGTGCAGAAGCTGCACATTCCTGGGGGTAACAGGTCCTGGCATCCATTATAATTTTAGTTCTCCTAAAATGGTTTGCTATTATTCTAGGAAAAGCTGAATCTACATCACCACCCTAGAGAAGAAAGAATTAACATTCCTGATGGCTGTCACTCCTGCCTGGAGAAGGTCCCAAGGCCTTCGGCCAGACCAGGGCCTGGGAATAGGGGCAGTGCACTGCAGCTGGTGGAAATGGACTAATGTATTAGTGCCTTCAAAGGATATGTCTTACATCCAAGGTCCAGGGAGAAGGCAAGGTTCATGAGGGCCCACACAGGACTGAGGACTTCTCTGTACAGAACTCTCTACCACTGAGGCCATGGGGAAGACCCTAAGTGTCAGAGAGGGGAACAAGCTGCTAATGGATAACTTGGACCTTCCATATGGGACACCTCATAGTTTAGCGCCAGTACCTGGGGTGATCTTAATAGACCAAGATGTCTTTATGTAATCACCACACCCCCCAAAAAGCCCTGGGTCAACTACTGTACACCATAAGTTGTTATTTAACTAGCTTGCATGGTTTTGATCAGAAGCATATAGATCCTGTTCAAGATTCAAAGTTAAATATCCCATGGATGCTTCACCTAGATTTTTCTTCCAGCACCTACAAGATTCTACTTGCTTTTAGTTTATTCCACTAAAATCTTATTTTCTATAATATAGAACTTTAGGGTCTTACCTATAGGAGTAGGCATGGAACAATTCTCTCACTGAGAGCAGATTTAGCTACTTTCTAAGCCCCTTCCGCTCAGCCTTGGCAGTGGGGGAGACTGTTGGGTTAGATGCATGTCACGGGGTATCTTAAAGTGGGACCAAGGCGAAATGCGCTGAGAGGGCTGTCTGGGAAACCGCAGGTGAGGGAGACAATGCAGTGTGAGGCTTGCTGGTAGCAATCATGGCCTTTAATGATTCGTAATGTTTCTGATTTGTTAGCAAGTGCCAGCTCACTGGTGCTGGGGGAAGCACTGAGTCGAGAGGGAAAAAGACTTGGATCTTCGGTGTTTGGAAGGTCAGCTGTTCCCAGGCGTGGCTAAGCACCTCTTCCTCCTCTCCACTTAGAAGGAGCAAGTCCAGTTGCATTTGACCTTTCCTTCATCCCAGATCCATGTGAGTGATGGGATGGGAGAAGATTGTCTTTCCTGGGTTGGGGCCTGGGGAAGGTCTGTCTCCAGGTATGTTTTTTCCCTTCATCTTTATTCTAAAACTGCCTCCAACAGGGATCAGGGGCCTCAAAGATCAGCGTTCAGGATGATAGGAGATGCCACATCTGGTTTGAGAGTGGTTTGTGTTACTGAGTACCCCAAGGATCCCTCTCAGGACCTCCCTGTTATTATCTATGTAGTGCCAAGGATGTGTATTTGTGGAGGCTGTGTGTATGCCCCCAGCCCTTGGCACTTGATGATGTCACTCAGCAAGGGCAGAGGTGAGATGTCAGGTGTTAGTGAGCAGACAGACAGGGAGAGGAGCACAGGCCTTGTACAGGGCATTTATAGCCTTTTAGACCGAGCTGAGTTTTGAGGAACACCTATCCCAGTGTGTAGCAGGGCACCTGGATTCTCCTAAGATTCACACATGTCTTTGGAATGAAGGAAAGAAGAGAGAAAGGGAGGCCGAGATGGAGTGGATGGAAAAATCTCCTTGACTTCTCCCCCTCGGGTACAGAGAGGCTCCAAGTGGCTCTTTCCTGAGATGGGCCCCAAGCTGGTCCCTGCTTTCACAGTAGCCCATCCAAAACCTGAATCCTTGCCCAGTTCTGTAGCTTCTCTCAAGTGGAAGAAGCTGCAGGTCGAAGCTCCTCACACCCTTCACCCTAGCAGAAGCAATTAGGACAGGCTTTAATGTCCCCATGGGGTAGTGAAGGTGAAGCAGTGCCCCTCTGAGGACAAGGAGAAAAGCCCAGGTGGGGGTGAGGGCAGGCAGTGGAGGCCTCTGAAGCTGGGGTCCAAAGATCAACATGATTCTGAAGGTGATTGTCGTGGGTGCGACGGGTGGCTGGCTCTGCTTAGGCGTCCTTGGGCCCATCCTGGGCCTGGGTAGCAATGTTGTTGGACTGGAGTACGAAGGCCGAGTAGGCCATATCAGCTTCCTCCTTGGATGACTGAGGGGCAAGAACAGAGACATCAGTGAGTGAGGGTTGGGAGGGAGGGGACAGCTCCATAGCCTGGATCTGCCCTCTTGACCTGAGCAAGGTCAGCCTGTGTGACCGCTGTCCTCACTCCAGCTCTTGTGCTCATCAGGAGGACTAATCATGAGAAATGGAAAGTTGCAGCCTCTAAAAATACCTCTTTCTGTCTCACTACCTCCTTCTGACACATGGGGCAGAACCACCTCCGTTGCCTGGGGCTGCCCCCGGAAGTGGTCTGCACAGTCCACATGCAAGGTGGCCTGGACTGGCACCAGCCAGAGGTCTGTGGTTTTCTTTCTCCACCAGCTTAGAGAGGTCACTTTCTAGCACCCCTAGCCTGGCAGGAGAGCCTGACTCCAGGACTAATTCTATCTCCTATTTGGGCTAAATGGGGCCCCTGCTGCTGTAAGGAAGGCAGACATGGCCAAGAGCCTCTGTGCCTCTGGGTGAGAGGTAAGGTGGTGTCTTTGCAAGGGGCCCTCATGAGGCATGAGGGGAGGGGGCCAGGGAACCCAAAAGCAGATGCTGCCTCTGTGGACTCAGGCACCACCACTTGGTTAGCGTGGACAGGTGTTTCCAGTGACTATCAAGTGGCCCACAATGAGTAAGTCTTCTCCAGCCAAGCACTCAAGGGAGGATGGGTAACCAACTCCTGAGAAGTCCCTGGTGCCACAGACCTGGAAGAGCACCCATCTGGTCCCCAGTGTTGATGCATGATCTCCCTCCCTATGACATCTCTCTCAGCTTCTGGTTTTCCTCCCTCCTCCATCAACCTCATCCACATCAACATTCCCCAACCAGGATGGCGCACCTTCCTTCTGAAAGACCTCCTATATTCTGTTTCCACCATTCTCCTTGCTCTGGGGTCAGCCCCCACACAGAGGTAATTTTGTCCCAATGTCTGACTAAAGGCCCTCATGCTGCAATTGTGCCATACAGTCAGGCCACCCTCCCTCCTCCTGCTTACCCTTTTTGCCTTCTTGGGCTCCTCGTTGTCCTTGGTGCTCTCAGTGTTGTCCATGACCTCTGCATGGAGAGAGTGGTTAGTTCTCCTCCAACCTGTGCTCACACTAGGTACGGGGTTACAACCAGTCCTCACTGCCCAGGCATCAAACATACCAACTTTTCCTTCAAGCACTGTCTCCTGAGTGACTGGAGAGGCTCCCATGTTGTCGTGACCACCTACATCTCTGGAGTTCTCAAAGTCTGACATGCTAATGTCTGTCCTGTAGCTTCTAATGGATAAGCGGTCTGTGAAAAGAGAAGAACTGGTGTAGGAAACGATCTGGACAGAGGAGACCGGGGGACCCACCCTCTGAGCAGTTCCTCTGCAGCCTATGCGATGGTGTAGGGCTTGGAGTCCTCTCATGGCCACCTCGGACTCTGCCTGAGGCTGAATGGAAAAGCACTCAGTCCTTCTCATGAGCAATCAAGACTTGATCCCTGACCTTTGTCACCAGGTGACTCTCAATGCTCAGCGCCCAATTTCACCTCAGGTCTACTCTGTGGGATGATTATTATCATCCTTCCTGGAACTTCGAGAATGGAGGGATGAAATGGGGACATGTCAAAGGCACACACTGTATTAGTGAGCAAGGAGCTCGAAGCCCAGGTCTCCCTGGTACCCTGGTCTCCTACCAACTGGCATCTGAACTAAGTCCCCAAGCAATGGGAGACGGCCTGCGAGGGGCAGTATCTGGGCAGCAGCACTTAGTTAATATGGGAGAGTATGGGGTGCCTCTCCCAACCCCTACTCCCCAACCTCTGCTTCTTCAGAATCCTCTGTGTGAGCCTGTGGAGAGGAGGAGACAGTGGTGGCTCTTCTCTGGGCATCTGTGTTGGGGTTCAGGGCTCAGGGCTGGAGGTGGAATGGGGAGCACTTGGGACTCACCCACATTCTTCCGGTGCCGGGCTCTGGCCACCCACACAGCCACAGTCCCCAGCGCCAGCACCAGGCCCAGGGGCACCAGAGTGGAGAGCAGAACTTTGGAACTCCCACTGTGTCCTTCAGAGCTGAAAGAAGGATTTTGAGTTCGTCACAGAGAAAGGGACCTGAGGGCTCCAGGTTGAACTGGAAAATTGGCTCCAGCTAGTGGTCCTCCCTGGTTTAGTTCCTTACCTTCCTGACAGAGCTCTCCACTCTGTTCTAAGAACTCTTTCCAGGCCCAGCAAGACAACAACAGGGCTGTCACTGCACCCCAGTCCTGGGAGATGGAGCTGAAGTACAAACCCTGTCCCAGCCTTGGGAGAAGGACTGAGGGTATTAGGGACCTGCTGTGCACAAGCAGAGGTAGTGATGGCTTCCCCGACTTAAGATGGGAGCAGGCTCTGCTCTTCAGATCTAGTGGTCCAGAATCAACTCCTTGGCCTTCTCTGTGTGCAGCGCCCTGGATCTCTCCTCACCTGCTGGCATCTACAGATGCTCTGCCCCCACTGGCTTGGTTTCCTGAATTTTCCACCACTCTTTCCTCTACGAATAGCCTGGGGTTCTGGTTCTGCACAGCTTTGTTCTCCACCTGGGGCTTTACCACCTCCTCCTCAGGAGCACTGTTTGCAGCTGTTGGGTTGATGGCACCAGCCCCTGGAGCAGAGCAGAGCAAGGGCTGAGTTAGGGTTTGGTCTCCTTGATCTTACTTTTAGAAGTTAGGAGATCTGAGCAGTGAGACTTCGTCAGGCATCCCAGGCTGGGTTAGAGGTCAAGGAGGTTGGGGTGGCTCCGTGAGGACACTAGAGACAGAGGAGCCATGACTTTCTCTAGCTCGTCACAGTTGATCTCCAACCCAGCGGTACTGAGTTTGTTTCCACATTCACTGCTGGGTGCCATAGACCGGCTGTGAAGAGGGCCCAACACTTAGAGGCAGAGATGGAATCTCTACTCCAGCCAGTGGTCTAGAGGCCTGAGGAGGCCACTGCCACCACCTGGTGGTAGCTTGGCAACAACCCCTCAGTGAACTAGACTGGATGGCCCTGGACACCATTTGGACTTCTGAGGGGGCTAAAAACATCCTAGGAGATTTCACGTGGCCTTTAGAAAAGTGACTGTAAGTGAAAATTAAAGTTGCCTTAATTTGTTTTCTTTTCCGTGCCGCTAGGGCTCCACACATGCTGAGCACATGTTTTAGTCCTGAGCTACGTCTCCAGCTCTGTGCCTTCATTTTTTTGCATCAGACCTTGTGAACAAGGTATCTGGTCCTCTTTTGAGAACAGATTTGGGTAGCAGGAGGAAAGGTGACTATGTTGCACAGAATAGTGACTCTGAAATTTCTACACATAAAAGCAGAGTTCCAGATATGGAAGGGATTTCCATCTGGTTTGAAGGGTGGTGACGGGACTTGTCTTAATGGTGTGGTTCATTAGCAGATGCACCAGCTCTATCTCACTTATATGTGTGAAGGACACCTTCACTGCCCCTCCACCCCCACTTCTTACAGTCAAATGTAGGGACCACCTCTGATTGAAAAGTCGTTAAGCAAGAGCTTTTGAAGGGTGCTGAGGGATGTGAGATTTAAAGACTCACCCTTTGCCTTCTCTTCAACTGCCACATAGACAGCTGCAGTCTCTCCAAAGGTCTGGCCCTGCTTCACACCACACCAGTACCAGCCCTCATCCTCCACAGTGACAGACTGCAGGGTCATGGAGACAAGCCGGCTGTTCTGGTCACAGCTCACAAAAGCCTGGCTGGGGCCTTCATCTTGGCTGGGCAGGGCCTGGCAGCCCTGGTTGCTCCACTTACACCAGTATTTCTCGTAAGAATAGAATTTGCATGGGAAGTGGCAGTATAGCTTGAGGGTCTGCCCCAGCACAGCATTTGTGTTCTTCGATACCTTAAGGCTCGGTTCTCCTGCAACAGGAAGGGAGAAGAAACAGGTCACAAGGCAGAACATGGAGATGCTGCAGGAATTGACTGGGTGGTAACCTCTGTGTGTATTTCCTCTTCAGATAGCCTTGTAAATAAATGCACTATGCTGACACACACGTAACACAATGACGTGCTAATGTGCTAATTATTGTCAGAGCCCACCATGATCAGCCTATCAGAGGACACAGTCCTGGCCAGTTGACCGTAGTGTGCTTTCCTTACACTTCCTTTTCATTTAGTTCCAACCTCAGAGCCATCTCCAGTATTTTACTTCAGGTGACCCCTGCCCACAGCAAGGGAGGTGACTGTCCTGCAATTAGGAGATGCTACACAAGGAAGCTCATAGGTTGCTTGTCACCAGTGTGAAAGCGTGACCGCTGGACAGGGTAGGCTTTTTCTTCAGGACTGTCTGGATCTGTACATCAACATGGATGTAGGTGAGGTAGGAGTGGTCAGGGCAAAACTCCTGCTACAGGAGTGGCCTTGGGGCTTTCACCCATCCCTCTTGCCCAGTTCCGCTCTTACCATCAGCAACCTTGATCTCCACTGTGGTCCTCCAGTGAGTATCGCCGCTGGTGAGACACCAGTAGAAGCCAGCATCCTGGGTGGTGAGCTGGTTGAGTATGACGGTGTAGAAGCCATTGCCTGGCTCCTCAAAGAGAGCCAGCCGGCCCTCGTACTCCTCCTGAACCTTCCCCTGGCTCTCTACCAGCAGCGGGCAGCGGCCATTTCGCTCTCCATCCCAGCGACACCAGTACTTGAGGCTCTTGCTGTCCTTGGGGTCGTAGGGGCAGAGCACAGTCACAGAGCCTCCTGTCACCCCCTTCACAACCGTGGGCACATGGGGCATTATGGTCTCTGGAAGATAGAGATGGCATGAGAAGGATGCAAGGCAACGAGAGCCTCGCACAGCCCGAGCAGTTTCCCTCCATGGTCTTAGCCATAGTGGCAGGAGAACAGCTCACCCTGCTCCAAATGGAAGACTTTCCCTGAGTCACACAGCCGGAGCCACCAAGAGCAGACTCCAGCACCCTCTGCCACCAGTACATGTGCACCTCATTCCTTTTCTCTTCTTTGCTCTTAGCAGAGAAGGGATCCAATGAAGGGAGAGAGTATCAGCCCTTTCCTTTGGCTTCTTCAAAAACACATTTTTGTGTGTGTGCATCTGTGTGTGCGTGTGTGTGCGTGCACACACGTGTGCACATGTACACGTGTATGCCTTAGCTTATCCTACAAAAATGTCCTAATGGATCAATTATACATTAATAAAATACGTTTAGAGTGGGCATGATTTAACACATACACAGCACAGACAATTTTAATGATCAAAGACCTTGAGAAGCATCTCAAAGAGGACTGCCCTTCTCCAAGCCGCTAATGCTGTGGTCTAGAGAGAACTCTGTGTGGCTGAAGATGGGAAAGGATGTGGTGAAGATCTGAAGCCAGATATGGAAAAAGTGCCCTGGGAGCACAGACCTCTGAAGCAAAGTTACAGGCACGGATAGATGCTTTGAACTACAAGCACTGGTTTCCTGCTTCTCATGAGGATATTGCTGCAGAGTGCACCAGGGTGAGAAGGTGCAGATTTTCAATTATTTTACTGTGTTGTAGCTTCTCCAAAGTGTAGCTGAGTGGGCTAGATCTTGCTAGATAACAAACAAACTGAAGTGATGTGGGAATGGATATTTGAGGCTGGGCCTCACCTTTCCAGGAAGTTCTGAGACCAATCTGAGTGTCCAAGTGAAGAAGCATCCACCTCTTTCAGGGCTCAGTGATTCGGGATCAGGGGAGGGGAGGGGACAGGGATTACCAAGGCACAGAATCCTCAACAGTCTATAAGTCTTGCTTTAGGGGCTCAGCTCTGCTTGTTCATATCAATCAAGGCCATCAAAAGCCCATAACAGAGAAGAGCAGTCAGGACCTCACCCAAGGCAGAGACTGCACTGCTGCCCATGTAGCAGTCAGTTGAGGGTTCCTTGGAAGGCCTGCTGTTGACTGGTGGATGAGTGTGAGTGCAGGGAGACACAGAGAGCAGAGCCCCCCACCAGCAGACCGCCTACCCCTTCTCTCTGCCTGCAGGGGCTCACCCTGGTTGACGAAGAGCTGCCAAGCCTGGAGGGGCCAGCCTTCCTGGGGCTCTCCATCTGAGTGGGCTCCGCACAGGTATTCTCCCGCATCCCCAGTCTGCAGGCCTGTGATCAGCACACTGAAGTGGCCGTCTGCTGTAACCGTGTCACTGAGCAGGATCCTGCCCTCAAAGGCCGGATCCCTCCTCCCCAAGGTGTTGACGATCACATCGCAGCCTTTATTCTTGTTCACCCGGCATAGAAATTTTGGCAAATTCACCACCCCAGGGTTCAAGGCACAGTCAAAGGTCACTGAACCCCTCAGTTGTCCATAAACCAGCTCGGGCTCAGGCTTTAGCACCTGGAGATCAACATTCTTTTTGTCACTGCTAGGATCCTCCCCGGCTTGGCAGATGTACATCCCTGCATCACCAGTTCTCAGCTGGTTGATGACGACGTTGAATGCGGATTGGTCGGTGCCCTGAATAGCTAGGCTGACTCTGCCTTGAAAGCTGGGGCCCACCTCCCGATTGGAGTTGATGACTAGCTCGCAGGACTGATCTGTCTTCTTGCACAAGATCTTCTTTTTATCAGCGTTCTCACTCCTGAATGGACATCTGATGGTCACTGTCTTGCCCATGTCCACAGTGTAGACGTCAGTGTTTGGGAGCAGAGAATCTGCAGGATGAGAGGGTGGGGGATGGTGATTGCCCTGCCTTCTAGAGAAATTAAGCTTTTTGTTGCTCCCACTGAAGGGCCTAGGGGGGCTGCCACCTGGCATGCCTGAGTGCCAAGGGGGACACCGTGGGAGATATCTGTTGATGATGGGAAAATGGCACCCCAAAGTGAAGGTGTTGGAAGGCCTTAGAAGTAGCCTCAGAAACAGAGCTTCTCTCTGACTTCTACCCTCCTTTCTTACTCCTTATTTTCCCCAAAGCCAGAGAAGCTGGAATTCCTTTTCTCCAAGGCCAGCCATAGGAGCTAGGACTCCAAAGGTACTCATACCTCAAAGCTATCCATAAAATCTAAGAACATTATCCTACCCTGCCCCTATCTCTGCTTATAAGAGTTGGCCTAAGAGGCTACTCTGACGTGTCCTCAGACCCTCAATCCCAAGGCATCCTGCCGCATACCTGGGAGGATGGAATGCTACCACCAAGGGGCCAAGAGGAATCTGGACAGCCAGCCCTGACAGTCTCCTGCCGGCTCACTGCTAATGGCCCAGGCCATTTTGTCTTATCACGTTCTCCATGGCCTTTCTTGCTTGCTGGAATCTAAGCGTGAAATTAGATGGCTTCTCTGTGTCTTTGGAACTTCGCTCTGAGGCTCTGGTACCTGTGAATCATTCTCTCTAGAAACTGCCTCTTGTTGTACAGGTGATGGTCATGGCCCTTGGGATGGGTGGGACAGAATCACACCTTTCCTCCCCTCTACCTCCTGGGTCCTTTCTCAGGCGACACTAGTCTCTCCCTCCTCTGCACCTTTCTTCCTCATGTCTGCATCACTCACTACATCCTGTCTAGAGTAGTTCATCCTGATTCCCCTCAACTGGAGGGCAGAGATACATTTTCCTCCTGCTGTGGTTGGCATGATGCTGGGGCCTACACTCAAGAGGAGCCTTTCTTCGGTAGAATGTGTTCACTCAGTGCCTAGCTCCTCAGAATTCTGATTACTGATCAGGAAATAAGGTTAGAATTTATGCTGATAGTTGTGATGGACTCATGGATTCTATTTTTATTGTTGTTTAGTTCTTACAGTGCTGGGAATTGAACCCAGGACCTTACACTGAGCTACATCTCAGTTCCTTTCTTTTTTTTTTTTTTTTGCTCCAAATGCCTTCAGGGCATGATTGGCTGACTTGAGTTGTGGGAATCGAACCACAGCAACCTGAGCCTGACTGCTTTGTGGAAGCAACCACTTAAAGAACTGAGCTAAGGGGCAGGCCCCAATTCTTTTTATTTTGAGACATGATCTCACCAAGTTGCTAAGTTGCCCAGGTTGGGATCAAATTTCTGATCCTCCTGCCTCAGCCTCCCAGATTATAGGTGTGTAACCCCATGCCTTGCTTAATGGATCCCATTTTTAAAAAAATACAAAGAACCTCTGGCCATATAAGGCTTGAATCTCAAGGGTATATTTGAAGTGAGAATTTAAGGATCCCTGTAACTCTTTCTGTGGCTTTCCTGTCTTCTTATGTCCAACTTCCAACAAGCACAATGAGGAAAGCTGTCCAGTGACCACCCTACTCTGGGGCCTCTGTAAAGCCCTAAAATGTCACTGACTTAGAATATCTAGAAAGGTGCACTCATCACACCCAAATAAGACTGTTTTATATTTGTATCTTATTATGAAGGTCTTTCCTGACGCCAAGCCAGGACACGGGTCCTGTGAAGAATTCTTCCTCCATAGCCCCTCCATCCCCATTGCACCTAACACAATTCTCTCTGACTCCTCCAGAGGCCTAAGGAGCCCGGATGCTTACCCTGGCTGACCTCCAGGCTTACATCAAAGTTCAGGCCTCGGTTGCTGACGCCCAGGCCGCACTTGTAGTGCCCAGAATCCTCTTGGCTGAGATGGGTGATATTTACCATGAAGGCACCAAGGTCTGGGAAGTTGGTGAGGCTGGATCTGCCCACGTAGTCTTTGGAGACATAGCCTCCTGAGGAAATGAGGGTCGTGCAGCTGCCTTTAGCTCCCTGGCGACACCAGTACTTCCGACTGTGCCGGTTGACAGAGGTGGATGGGTAGTAGCACATGATGGACACTGAGCTCCCTTCCATGGCGCTCACTTCCTCAGGACCAAATATGGGGCTTTTCGTAGAGACCACTGTGGAAAGAACAGGCAGAGGCTTCCTGAGCCCTGGGAGACACAAATCCCGCTGAAGGGAGCCAGGCCACCCACCCTACTCAACAGGCACATGCTCTGTGATTATTTATGAGATACTACAGCTAGACAGTTGCTTTGTCAATAAAAAAGTAAGCAAAGATTGCTTAATCACAAATTAATTCTTTTCTTTTCAGGGAACGCATGAGTGTGGTCCCATACTATACAAATTATGTAGTCAAGTTTCCCACATTTGGGAAAATCACAAGGGTCAGTACATCTGCAGTGTGGTGGTTGAGCCTCACCACCTTCATGATCACAGTATCTCTTCTGTCAGGTAAATATTTCAATTTTTACTGTAATTCATTAATGCAAAACCTTTTAAGGGCAATGAATGACAACTACGATATCTTTTGTGCTTTAAAAATCCCATCACTTGGGCTGGGGAGATAGCTTGGTGGTCTAAGTGCCTGCCTGGTACATGCAAGGACCTGGGTTTGATCCCAGTACCATATGGTGTGCCCCCCAGGCGCACTGTGCTAGCCACCAAACTGGACATGGTGGTGCATGCCTGTAATCCCAGAACTAGGGATGCTGAGACAGGTGGATCACTATGTGTCCAAGCTGTGTAGTGAGACCCTGTACCAAATAAATAAATAAATAAATAAATATTTAAAATCCATCATTTTTTAGAGTGTTATACTTTTGCATTTGCAACATGCTAGTTCCTTGCATTTCTAAAAACACTTACTAGCTGATTTCTTTCTTTCTTCTTCTTCTTCTCATTTTTTAATCTCACTATGCAGCTTGGACCCATAGTGATCCTCCTGTCTCAGCCTCCCTAGCACTGGGATTGTAGGCATGTTCCACCACACCTAGACTCGGTGGCTGGCTCAGTAAGCCCAGGGGCAGGACTGGGTATGGCATGCGGTACCGGGAAATGAACTCAGATCTTTGCATTTGCCAGGCAGGCACGTAGACGGCTGAGCTATGTCCCTAGTCCCTGATTTCTTTTTTCTGGATAAAAATACTAAAAGCCAGGAAGAAGAACCATTTTTTCCAAATCCATTAGTCACTAATAAAGATGCTTGGTTTGAGATCAACTTCTTTTTTGATCCCTAGAAAAGACCTGAACCCTGGTCTTGACATTAGAAATTGCCATTCCTGCCCCACCCGCTTCTGCATTGCCTTCACATCACTCCCTTTTGAAGGAGTATAATTTTGAGAAGGATCCTTAGAGACGAATCTGATTTCAGTGTCCCCAGGGAACTGGGACCTGGAGGGTATGGGGGGCAGTGGGTAGAGCCCCAGCAAGTTGGGACCTGGTGACATACCTGGGAAGGCAGCCAGCAGGAAGACAAGCAGGGAAAGCATCGTTGCTGGTGGCGCAGCAGGGGCCTGCGCTGGCCAGGTCGACCTCTTGGGAGAGATGCTGAAAGACAATCACCGCGGGAGATGAAGGCCCTGCGTCTTCTAAGACTGGCTGCGCTAAGAGTTTCTGTAGCACCTACTTGACTTCCCTGTCTCCAGCAACTGACACACGTCCCACAGAATGTGTGGATGGATGGCCAGCGGGGCCCTGCCATCCTACAGAGCTTATCGCTTCTCAATACTCATAAGGAGATTTTTGTCTTCTCACCAAAACCACATACTCATTGGAACCGGGACATCAGCAACAAATCTGTGTCTCTGTCCAGAGGACACGGTATTAGGGCACAATCAGACATCAGGGATGGCCTCTTGGGGTGCTTGCTTACAACCAGTAAGCAGCCAGCCTCATCTTTCTGTTTCAGCTACCCTTCTCCCAATATCCCTGAGGCTGAAATATTTTTTAGTGTGTTCAGATGAATAAACTGAGAACTACTGAGTAGACCTGCTAATTATTAAGGTTATAAATATAATGACAAATGTCGTTATCATCACTGATTATTCTCTTTCCATGCCCCAGACACCATGTTACATGATTTAGATGTTATCTCATTGAAAGCTGATATCAACTCTACAAGTTGGGCATTCTTATCAACACTCTACCTTCCAGAAAAAAAGTTAAGTACTTGCTTCAGCATCACCAGCGGCTCAGTGTGTGGTGGTAGGCCGAGAAAAGCTGGGAGTGGGGAAGATTTGAACCCCAGCTTTGTCTGACTCCAGAATCCATGCTTTCAAGCTTTCTGCTGAATTGTACCTCACTGATAGAATGTCTATAATGGGTACTGACTCCTGTGGTTTATAAAACCCCATTTTTGACACTATTTGTTTGAACTTTATAACCTCCCTTAAAATAAGATAGACATGTATAATCACAACCATCTCATGAGTAAGAGTACTGAGCTATTGAGATGCCGAGTGATGCCCAGGATCTCCCAATGACCTGGTTATGGGGTGAAAGTTGAAAACACAGAGGCTTTGGTCTTGGTAACCCTGCCTGGCGAGGCCTGGCAGACAAAGATGGAGACGCGAAGGCAGCTTCTGTGGGCTTTGTCACCACTGTAAGCCCAGCACAGGGCCTGCCTGCAGCTAACTTCTGAACCAAACTGCAGCCTAGGGGAGACAAGGGAGTAGGAAAGGGTCTCTACCTCCCAGTGTCTCTGATAGACTTTCAACTTTGGAATGGATTGGGCAGAGAGTGTTGGAGGAAAAAACAATGCTAATAAACCTTGGGCAGCACAGAGCACCCATAAAGATAAAGAAACTGGGAACAGAAGGCAGCCTGGGGAGTTATCTCCCCCCACTGTCTTGGCCCCAGCTCCTGTGCCCAGAGACTTCCTTTACCAACTTGAGCCAAAGGCAATAGAGTTGTTTATCTTGGTTATTTCTTTTCCATAGGGGAATTTCCCACCCAGGAACCCTTTTATTTCCTGGTTCAGATAAAGATATTCTGTTTCCTCCAGTTCTTTGGAAGAGTTAAGGGTGGGGGTATAGATGTCAGGTGGCAACTTGAGGTTTTCTTAAGTGCAGTTAATTACCCCAAACCTTTCTCCCAGGCCAAAGATAAACTGGCATAGGACCTCAGGCAAAGGCCAGACTCAACCCAAGTTTGGATGTGCTCAGGGCCCTCTGGCTAGAGGCAAAGGGGGCAGGGGGAAGCTCCGAGACAGGAATTTTTCTGATCACCTGGGATAAGATGGCTGCAAAGCTGCTAGGAACCTGCATTTGCCATTTGTGCTGCTCTGAGTACAGTCATAGATGGGAAGGCCAATTGCCATGTGCTCCTTTCAAGAGCCCAAACTGGCAATAACTATACTTGATTCTCATTCTGGTTCTCATCTCTAGTTGAGTAAGATTCTTAATATTCCTGAGACTGGAGAGGGTCTTCCCATGGGCTGGGCGGTGTTGCAGGCTTTCCTCTAAATTGATAAGATGAGTAACTCCCTGGTGTTCTAGAACAGTCCACGAGGGAGACCTGACTCCCAGGTCAGGCTTCTCAGTCTGTGAAGTTTGGATGGCTGGGCACGTCCTGTGGAAGGAGGAGGTGTGTGCTCCCATAAGCCTCTGCTAAGTGTCAGGGCAAGAGCATCAAACATATGCAGCTAGGAGAGAAAACCTGGCAGAAGATGACCCTGGCAAGGAAACAGAGTCCAGTGGCAAGGGAGATGGTGGGCAAGTGAGGCCCCCAAGCTGTCAAGAACAGGAACTCTTTCTTGCCCAGTGGTACAATTTAGAACAATTTGTGATAGCAGCTAAAATGACTGTGCCTTAAAAGTCAGTAGAGACACCTTCATATCAGGCCAACTTTCTCCCAAACTCAGGAGTGTCAAGTCTCAGAGAAGCTCAAGTTACGGGGTGGCAGAAGTTGGATTTAAAGGATTTGCTTATGAAAGGAAAGCACAAAACACTTATTGGACACCTACTATGTGTCCCATGATAATAAGCCTGGGGAAGCCTTGAGTTCTTCTTTTACTTGACCCAAGGTAGGTTCCATTGTCTTCATGTTGCAGATGGAAAACTAAGGACTAGAGTAAGGCTTGACCCCAAGACCCATGAGAGAATTGGAATCTAAGATCACAATCCTGTTTTTATCTTCGAATGGGTAAAGGAGTCTGTTCTATTGGGCTAAACTGATAGGTCATGTTTTAGGACATTTTCTGGACCTAAAATCAGAAGATAGTATTTTAAAGACATTCTTAGTTAACTATGTGGGTACCTGATATATTCATAATATATTTCCCCACAATTGTGGATAGGGCAAAGATGATAGCTTTGCGGGAGAATGGTTTGTCTCCTTATCAAATTAATTTAGTCAACCCCATCCCGTTGCACTGTATGCTATGACCTGGAGTTTAAACTTTTGCCTATCTTGTCTCAGGTGTCTTCTTTCTCAGGTCAGAAGGGTCACCTGGATCTGGGTCCTGGCTGGGTACTTGGAGAGACACTTGTTCTTATAACCTCACAACCCCAGGGGCCACAGAGGGCATAGTAGACTGGGACTCAAGCTGTCAACTTCTCACAGCCCATGCATGGGTGTGAACTTGGAGAGCAAAAGCTCTGGAGTTCAGAGGAGCAAGGACTGGCTGGCCTGGCTGGGAATGAGGACCTTCTCTGTCTTGATGGAACAGCCCCTTGTCCTGCTTCCAGGAGAGGCCTTGCTTGAGTTCACCTTGGATGGTGGCTCTCAGCTCCCCCAGGCAGAGGCATCGGGCACAGACCATACGGAGCCTGGCAAGAGCTGCATGAGGGGGAGCTTTGAGGCTAAAGAGGCATCCTGCTCTACAATGAGGTCCAAGGAGAGTTCTACTACATGGGCAAAATCTGCTAGCTCAACTCGCTCATCCGCAGAATGAGATACGGTCCCCAGCAATTCTTGCTTGAAGGGTGGGTGCCCTTTGGGATGGGAGAATATGGTGGAGGGTAATGGAATAAAGTCCATGGAAGCACTTTCTATAATATCAAGGACTCCAATTCTCTCATGGGTCTTGGGGTCAAGCCTTACTCTAGTCCTTAGTTTTCCGTTTGTACTCTCCTTACTCCTGTAAGGAGATGACAGTTATTCCCACAGGGAGGTGGGGAGCACTCTGTATCTCTACTTTCTTGGGGAAGTGGCACAGAGCACCGATTCCTCTGCTGTGCTATCACTGTGCGATTTGGGGCTATTTACATTCTGAGCGTCAGGTCCCTCATTTGTAGCCTGGTGGTGACTGTGCCACATTCAGGAGTTGTTTTAAGCATAGATTAATAATATATGGTCTTTTGTGTGTATAAAATCAATGCAGTCTTCTTGCTTCTTGCCACAGCGTGAGAGGGGAGAAGACTGCTTGATGAGGGCCTTTCCAAGCCTGAGCATGAGCTCTAAAGGTCAGGCCATGATGGCTGAGAGCAGGGCAGTGAGCACCACGGATGAATCAGAAGCACGGTCAGAAGATGCAGGCAGAGTTCCTCAAGCCATCTGCCTGTGTTAACTGGTTCAGCTTTCACTGCCACACAAGGAGATAGAAAATATGGGTAGCCCTGTTTCACAGAAGACACAGCAGAGGCACAGAGAGCTAAGAAATTTGCCCAAAGTCACGTAACAGCTGAGCAACTGCAATGGGTGCGTAGATCAGAAGGGTGGGCTGTTAGTCCCTATGCAGTACAGAGGAGTGCCTGCCTATTGCAAGTGAGCAGTAGGGATGGGAAGGAGCAGGATGTCCAGGGTTAAAGAAGCGAGTTAGTCCCATCCTTTCCTGTCCATCTTTCCCTGGAATGGTAGAGTCTGGGAAGACTCACCAGTACCTGGAAGTAGGTGCCAAGGGCGAAATTTCTTCCTGGTATATATTAGCACAGTCTGCCATGTTTGTCTCTTGTAACTGGGCACACAGAGGCCAAAGCTTCTTTCTTCTCCGTCACACTGCATCAGTGCTGACTGTCAACTACGGCCCACAGTCACCCAGACCATGGGTGAGACATGAGTCAGGGTCTCCACTGAGCATAAGGCGGGAGTCGTACAGGTTGAATATTCCTTCCCCAAAATACTGGAGTCAGGGTTGTTCTAGAATTGAGATTTTTAAAAGTTTTGGAGTATTTGCATGTATTAGTGGGGTATCTTGGATAGGGAACCCAAGTCTAAGATGAAATTCACCTACATTTTCCATATACCTTCTGCATATAAACTAAGGGTACATAATTTTATCTGACGTTTTCTGAGCACCTATGTTTGGACCAAGGCCCATCATATGAGGTCGGATGTGGGATTTTCCACTTGCGTCAAGTTGGCGCTCAAAAGTTTTGGGTTCAGGGGTGTTTCAGATTTCAGATTAGGGATGCTCAACCTCTAATTTTTAAATTATAGTTTGTGTTCTAGATGATATCAAAATGTCCTCACAACCGTATCAGAATGACTGTTACTCATTGTCATTTGTACTTACTGGTGACTTTAGAGCACTCACACAGACTTGCGGAGTCTTAGTTTCCTTCACTATGAAATCGTTGTTTTTGTTTTTGAGATAGGGCCTCACTGTGCAGTTCAGGGTGCCCATGAACTCACTATATAACCTAAGCTGCCTTGAACTCATGGTGATCTTCCTGCCTTAACCTCCTGAGTGCTATTATAGGTATGTACCACCAAGTCGGATGCTTGAATATGAATCATGATATGAACATAGCCTGTCTCCCAGAGAGATGCCCAGAGAGGAATTCTCTCCTGAAAATTATTCCTGTATTTATTTGGCATCTACCATGTGTAGGTTACGCTGTTTTCTGTAAGTGGGCGCACTGATGCCAAGAGAGGATGGAGCCGCAGCAGTCTAGGGTGCGAGGATCTACTAAATTAAAGCTGATGCGACCATGCTTTTTACAAGCCAAGGCCAGGAGCTCTAGAAGCACCAAAAGACAAGTGACAATGGTAGAGCACATTGCTCTCCTGTCTGCTGAGTCCATTCGTTCTGCCCGTCACCCATCCAGGGGCTAGGAGCAGCATGGATGGAGAGCTCTAGACATGGCTCTGGCAGACCCTCAGCCTTCAGTCAGCCAGCGCTGCCTCTACTCAAACCCTTGGCATCGGCACATCTTCCCTCTTGATGGTAACAAACTCATGATTCTGCCAGTGATGGGAACAGCTGATGGCAAAACTGTCGTATAAAACATGAGCACCTTGAGTGGTCCTGTGAGCTGGGACAGGGGATGGAGTCGACCAGTGGCTGCCCTTGTATGCGCAGTACCACAGCTGGCTTGGGGTAACATCAGGATGGGTAAAGGGAGGGATGGTCACCTCAGAGCCGAGGAGGTCCTCAGATCTGTGGTGGCTGAGCCCCACTTTACCCTGTTTCTCTGGGAGGACATTGTTTTTGCCACAAAGGGCCAAGGCATGATACTATGGTACTGTGTACTTGTGTTTCAGATGGTAAGAATCGGCTGGGGCAGTGCTGGGTGGAAATTAGAAGGGGTTTCAGACAGACTTAGAAACCCAGAAAAAAAGGATAGAATGTGGCCTCCCAGGAAACTGGAGATGGAAAACTTCAAAGACCAGCATGGGCTTATTTTGTCCAACACCTTATATACATTCTCTGCATCCAGGTCTGCACAGTGCTCCATGGGTCCTTGAGTAATTTAACTGCACTGAAAAACAGCAAGTGATTGCTAGCTTGTTCTAGAGCTCACAAAGCTATTTCACACGTTTTCTCAGTTGAACTCACATCAGCCTAGAGCAGTAGGTGTTGGTTATATCCCTATTTTACAGATTTAGAAACTGAGTCACAGAGAGATTAGACAACTTACCTGAGATGACAGTTAACCCACCTCAAAGGAGTAAGGGAATCTGGGGACCAAGCTCCAAGGGAAAAGTCCTGTGCTGACCACAGTCATTCCTTCTCATCCACTGACATTTTGCAGAAAAGGAGGGGGCCTCCACACACACACAGGCCGACCCTTCTCATCCTGCTGGGACATGCGCCTTGACTTCACACCACACACAGCCACCCAGCCTGCCCTGCTGTCCTCCTCACCCCATTCCTGCAAGGCCACGAATGGGAACGTGGGGGTTGCCTGAGCTCCCATCCCAGAGAGCATCCTGCCCTGGGATCCCAGGCAGCCACACTTACTTTGAGCACCTTCCTCTCTCCCGCTGCTCCAGTACCAGGGGCACAGCCCTCCGGCCAGTCCGGAATCCCTGCCTCTCTAGAAGCTGCCAGCAGGGCACTGGATTCTGCTGTCAAAACTGAAACTATGCTCAGGGACTGACCCACACCTGGGCTCTTAAAGGGCCACTCGCCCATAGGGCCAGTAGCCAGCTGCCCACGTGACTCCCATGGATCCCTGGCTTTCCTTTCACTTCAGCTCCACACTCTGGCTCCATTTCCTTGGCCCCTGGGGGAGGTGGTGTGATTTGGGAATCCTTTGTCATTGCAGCGGCAGAAGATGGGACAGAGTGTCCAACATGAAGATCCTGCTCTGTCACTTTCTAGCTGCAAGACTTTGGGCAAGTCTTTCCTTTCCTTGTATTTCTTTTGATTGAAAAATAATACTGATTCCACAGGTAGAGGACACAGATAATAACTAGCGTAAAAAGCCTGGCCTAAGGCATGGTGGGAAGTGGACACTTGTTGAATTGGGCACAGGTGTCCAGAAAGCCTTTTAGTTCTCAGTCTCACATCTCCAGCCACTAAGGAACATATCCCCCTACCCTCCCGAGGATGCTTAACCCAGATCGAGACATCCCTTACTCACCTGCTACAAAACCCTGGCTAACGGCCCCTGAGCTTGCAGAACCCCGGCAGGCAGAGCTTTTAGGAACCTGAGAGGTCATGGCTCTTCCCTTTCCGCCCCTTAGCTGCTCTAGGCACCCCGGAGGCTGGGCTGACTCCAGAGCCTCATTAGGATCTGGGTTTGGCTCCCCGTGGTGGAGGGTGCTGGTTTGCTGAGTGGAGGTGGCCGTCTCCTTCCCTGCTGCAGTTAGTGCATAGCAACTTCCGAGGACATGAGGTGTTGGGGTTTCCTTGAGTGACTATAGCTGTTTTGTGTCATGCAAGGGAATCCCATTCCCCAAAACATAAGCACACACAGCCCGCTGCCTTCCCACCTCCCACAGGCAGAAGTCTTGCCCTGTCCTACCTGTGTGGAACCGACCCAGCTCTCCTTGCAGAGTCCTAGACAAGAAAGGAGAAACAGCTGGAGAAAAACAGGCAAGTCAGAGCCCTGGGTCTCCCTGGCTAACCACATACTCAAGAGTCCACATTAACCCAAAGTCACAGGTGGCGATGGCAAGGAAAAGGAACCGCATTTTCTACTATGGAGCTTAATGTCAGACTCTAAGCCCAAAGGTATACAGTTGCTCCTAAGAAAACTAGGTTCAACTCATTGATACCGTGATCATTTCATTTCAGGTTAAAAATTTCAGTATTATTCTGGATTTTCTTTTATTTTTGTCATCTTTCTTTCCTTTGGGGGTGGTGAGGGGTAGTATTGGGCAGTGAGACAAGGGAGTATCCCATTGTCTTGGTCCTTCAGCACGGTGCTGTGCTGACCTGTGTTCTGGGAGGAAATGGTTTTCTTTACTGAGATACAGCTTGTGCTGCCTGGTCAGTTAGTCTTATGTTTGCTCAGCCGGAGAGGTCTGTGATCCAGTCTACATCCCCCTTGTCCTGTTGCTCAGCCCCTTTGGTAGGACTTCCAGACCCTCCCAGAACCTTAGCAGCTTTCACCTGAATTGCATCCTTCTGGAGCCTTTAGCAACTGTCTTCCTTTCCCATCCTAGGGCTGGAGGGTAAGAGAAGATGGAGCTGAGCAGAGAGAGTGGGAGGACAGACCTGCTTCTGCCAGGCATCAGCACCATTCTAACTTTTTCTTACACTTGTCTGCATTTGAATGCAATAGAGAAGGTATTTGCAGGGTATGTGTTCCTATTTGGTAGTAATCCACTATTCCCAAAGCAGGGAATAACTTCAGTCTTGTCTGGTCTTATTAGGGGCCAGGAGGGCTGCTGAATAGGAGCATGGGCACTTGATGAGCCTGTGGGAAGGCACGGAACACATCCAGCAGGCCATGGCTCCTGCACTGCCTGGAGGTATGAGCAGCGCTCCTTGCTGCTCCTTTATCCCCCAGCAGTGGGCTGCTCACTTGGCCATGTCCTGGTGCATGCTCCCAGTGGCCTCCAAGCTGCTTTAGTGGACCATGTCAGACAGCTGAGCCTGTGTGTGGCCGTACATGTTCCACATACAGACCCACAGCCACAGATCTTGCAGGTCCAGATCAGAGAAAGGGGAAAGGGAAAAGCAGAACTTGGGAGGAGTCAGGAAGTCAAAACCTTGTGACCTATTTAGGGCTTAGCCACACTGGTGATGTGGTGGAAGTTACCAGCTTCCCCTCTCTCACTGCAGCTTCTGCATTTGGGATCCAGGATCCCTGTGCCCAATCCTGGGGTGAAGGGGCTGGGCAAGGAGTCCAGTTGCCCAAATCCATGGCAACAGTGACAACAGCAGCTGTGATGTTCATGTCACTTCATCTGCTTACACCTCCCCTCCTTTAAAAAGTAATGCTCAAAAATTATATATGTATATAGAATAAGGAGCACAACTTCTCGTTTGTGCTTCGTGACTCTGGGCTGCCAGTGGAGAGTTTCAGAGACACTTCTCTGGAACCAGCACACTTGTGTCCTGGTCCTAGTTCTGCCTCTGATTTGCTGGATGGCCCTCGCCAAAGCTCTTCCTCCTTTAGGCCTGCAGGCTTTGCATCTGCTAACTGAAAAGACCAAGGCTGAATGGTTCCCGAGCCCCTTCTGCTTCTAGGATTCTGAATTTTGATTGAGTCCTATCTCGCTTTTCTGTGGCAGCTGGAATAAAAGACTGCAGGCTTGATGGCTTTACACAATAGAAATGCAGTTTGTCTTAGTTCTGCAGGCTGGAAATCCATTTGGCTATCAGCAGAGCCACACTCCTATGGGTGTTCCAGGGCAAAACATGTTCTTCTTCACTTCTGGCTGCCCTGGCATCCTTTGGCACTCAGTGGGTGGCCTCGTCCTCCTACTTTCCCTTCCAGGACTCTTTTCCTTCTGTGTGTGTCTCTTGCTATCCTTCTGCATCTCTCTTACGAGGACACTTGTGGTGGCATTTAGGGCTCACTCAGATAGTTGAGGATGATGCTCTCACTTCAAGGCCCTGAATATTTGTGTCTATAATGGCTCTTCTCAAGGTCACGTTCACACGTTCTTGGGATTGTGATACAAACCCAAGCTGGGAGAGAAGGTTTTTAAAAACAGCCTACCATAAATGCCCACGATGACCATGATCAGTTAGAGGTCCAGGGAGATTAGAGACATAAAGGGATTGCATCCCTATTCCCCAAGGGTTGACAGAGAGCCCAGCTGAGGCACTGTCACCCACATCCAGTCCTGCCTAGGAGCAGCACCAGCCAGAAGACAGCAAGCCACATGGAAAGGACTAGTCTCTGTATCTAGACAACTCTGGGTCCACATCCAAGCCTTGCCATCTGCTAGCCAGGAGACTTTGGACAAATTATTGGATGTCTTCAGACCTAATTATACTATCTCTAGAAGGATGTTATAAAGATTAAGTATAATATGCACAGTGGCTGGCAACTAAAAGGTGTTTATGATTCAACATCAGTGAGTGTTAAAGCTCCACTGAATGTGAGAGATCTGAGGAAAGAAGTGAAATGCCTTGCCCGCCATGCACAGTGCGGCGATGGCACTGCTGGGCCTGTCAGCAGGATCTTCTAGCAATGGACATGTCCTTTACTTCCCAATGCCTCCACGCTCAGCTTGGGTCTCTTGGATTATATCGATACAGAGAGCAATGTATCGATATCCTGGGCTGGTCTGAGAGCATTGCAGAGGGTCGAGCTGCACACATGAAGCCCTCAGGCTTCCGTCATTTGCTTGCTGCTCCAAGACACTGACCCAGTCCACAGCAGGGAGGAGCCTCAGCCATGCGGCCTTTACCATCCTCCATGGCCCATCTGGCATAGCTCAGCATGGACAGTTCTTATACAGGCTGCTTTTGCCAAACAAACAAGATAAGCACAAAGAGATGAAATGCTGTTTGCTGTAAGCTCTCCCCTCCCATCTGCAGGTCTTTGGCTGAGTCAATGTTTAACCCTTGTTTAGAGTCAATGTTTAATCACAGGCCAGCCAGCCCTATCATCCAGCGTTCCCCTCAAGCTTGACATACAGAGTCATTTTTATATTAATCGGTGAAAAATAGCATTGTGACAGTGACTCTGCCAAAGCCAAAGCCTTGTCATCTTTGTAAAGCACACTGAATACTTAGAATTATTCAAACCCCAATTAGCCACTACCCCTCAGCAGATAATGCTTGGACTGGCAGGAGCACAGCCTTGGTTCTTGCTCCATTCTGCTTTGTGAGATGGGGGAGAAGAGCACGGGATGGGGACGGATGCCCTCAGCTGTCCCTCAGCTGGCAGTTGCAGGCTGCTGTCACACAGCCGCCTGTGTGTGGCCATTACCTGGAATCTCACCAGGCAGAATGGGACTGGAATAGTCCATTTGGCTGGACTTGGGCGAGATTTTGAAGGCTTCTGTTTGGAGGCCTAAGCGTTTTTTCCAGGTGAGTCTTGCAGGTGTGAAAGGGAGAATGAATGATAAGAACTCCATATTTCCCTGACAGTTGGGAGATCCTACAGGGCCTTCCCGGGGTCCTTCCTGAGAGGCTCAGGGAATGGTGTCTACAGTCCAGCAGCACTGTGCCAGTGAGGGAAAAATCAAAGATGACAAGCTGGGTGGTGGAGACCACAGATGCCAAAGAAGGGGGCAGATTGGTGCCAGATAATGGCTCTCTGCCTTTGGGTGGGGTGGCAGAGAATGAGTTACTGGCCAGACTTAGCCATGAGGGCTTCCAATCTTCTTTTCTTGCAGTGAAAACCTCCTTCCTGAGCACCCATTACCTGTGCCACTGCCTGGATGTCCAGGCCCTCACCTTTATTCCTGGCTCACTTAATCCCAAAGTGCAAACAGCACTTCTTCTAGACCCTGCGCCTAGTAGAGGGGCTGTTGGTACTCTATGCTTTAGCTGCAGCAGGAGAAAGCAGATGTGGGGAAGGCCCTGAGGCCAGCTGAGTGTCACTCCAAAGGGGCTATTATGGGTCAAGGGAACCATAACACTGAATACCAAAGAAATGGAAATGGAAAGTTGGCTGTGGTCCAGGGGCTCTCTCAATTCCCCTTTAGGGATAATCCTCCACCTCCAGCCTCTGAAAAGCTTTTATTCTCTGATTCTGAGGCTGAGGCAAACATTTTCTGAGGTTACTGAAGCACTCTCCTGCCCTTTCTTACCTCCGCACCCTGCCTAGGGAGGAATGGAAAGAGGAAGCCTTTGTAGGGTGTACATCCAAAGTCAACAGGCGGGTGTCAGATGACAGGGCCCAGAGCTGCTCACCAGCCTGTGGGGGTCCTGCTGAAGACTTCTTGCTGCTTCCTTGTTCCTGATCTAGGTCTGGCCCTCAGCCCAAGGCATGCCTGGTAGGCAACCACTGGAAAAATAGCCTCTGTTATCCCTGCAGCCCGCGTCCATCTGAGCCTCAGTGTGCGTGTCTGTAGAAGGGGGTCTTTTCTTTCTGGCAGTGTGTACTGTAAGTAATTTTAGTCATCTGTACTATACTGCTGGGGTGGGTGCGGAGACAGCCGGCAAATGGGGAAGTTCAGGTCTGTTGCCTTGTGAAGTCGACCTCCCTCCCACTCCAGAGCCCAAAGAAGCAAATTCTTTGATCTTTTCTGGAACTTTTGTTCAAAGTGAATTGTAGGCTGTGTGGACAAATTGCTGGGCAACTTGGAAATGTCTTTGGACATGATACCCTGACTCTGGTCCTCCTACCCGAAATACTCTGGGGAGAGAGGCAGGAACTCTTAACTCAGGAAAGTAGTGAACTTCGTGTGAGCCTCCACTCGAAGCAGAGCTGGCAGTTCTGGACCCAGAAGGCAAGTAGGTGAGGAATAGGAACAAGGCCAGAGGCTAGAAGAGGCCAAACCTGGAGTTAGACCCGAGTCAGTGAGTCTGTCCTTCCTGAAGGGGGACCAGGAAACAAATGGGGACTACTGGCCATGGCCTCCCCCACCGTGCTGTGAGTTCACGGGGCTCCTGAGCAAGGCGGGGTCCATGCCTACAGCTGCAGCTCGCTGTTGCCCTCCCAGGCACTGGCTGTCCTTGCAGAGTGGGCAGCTTGTCCCCCACTGGATGGTGAAAGCAGCAGGCTAGGGAAAGCCAGCACCTGTTAGACATGCTGTGTCACTTAATGAAGAATGGGCAGGAGGGTGACACTGGGCCTTGTGTGCCAGGTCACACACAGAGCATCCGTATCCTGCCATGCTGAGGCCCTCATGTGCAGTCAGTGCTGGTCCAGGCTCTACATGGGGAGACCACGCCCTCTCCCGCAGCGTCCCTGTGCAGGCATCTTCCAAGTTGTTTGTGCTTGAAGCTGCTAGGAAATGGTTTCCCTACTCCTCAGGCCCCTGCTGCCTATCAGAAGAGAAGAGTATTGGTGGGGAGCAGAGAGAAGCTGACTTAGGGCGAAACACTTGTTCTAAGTGACCTGTGATAGACAGACCCCATGCATGGGGCCTTCAGATCTGAGCCCCATGGGTCAAATGCCAGCAAGAACCTGAGTTTTTAGCCCTCTGTCTGGTTCCCTGATTGTTTTTTTTAATATTTCACTAGGCCAGGATGAGAATAAGCTAATTAGTGACTAGAGAGAACAAATTCCTGGAAATGATTATGTAATTTTTCATATACAAGCCAAAAGGGTAGAAACCTGTGGCTCTCTCAATGGGAATAAATCAAACAAGGAGGGAGGCAGAGTGGCACAGGGACAGAGGAAATGGCTGCAGAGGTAGACTGCCTTGAATCCAAACCCCAGCTTGCCCTTTCCTTGGTTGCATAACTACCTCATTTCTATGGGTCTCGGCTTTCTCATCTGTAAAATGGGAATGCCCACAGCCACCTTTCAGGATGGTTTCATTAAATGCCCTGCAGAATGTGCTGCATAGAGACACAGGATCAAGTAGTAGCTGCACTGACAGAAGGGGAAGAAAAACTGGAGAGCCGTGCAGTCAACTGCGAAGCTGCTTGATCCTGTGAAGATCAGAGGCTTTCCTGTGTCCTGCTTTAGAAATTCCCATGGAGGCTTCTGGTTCTAGCCTGGTGGCAAGTATTTCCCTGCCCCTTAGCTCCATGGTGGGGCTGAGCTGTGCTGGTTGGGGATATAAGCTGAAATGAAAAAAAGGAAACCTGCGGGAACCAAGTAGTGGAGCTGGTCTGCTCTGTTGTTTTGCCTCTGGCTCTTTAAGCAAGCTGCCGCCCCACCCCTGCAGTAGTTGGCCCATAAAGAGAGCTGTAAATAGTGGGGCTACCCCTGCTTACTTTGTTCCGCACCTCCGACCTTATCTCTCAACTCCTGGCCCTTTCTCTGACCTTGCAGGGCTCCTCCCGCTGGCACATTTCAGCTTTCTCTGAAACCGTCCTTACTTCTGGGCATTCGCTTGGTTCCAAGCAGATGCCTGTACCTGGCTGATCCCCTTCTTCCCTGCCACCTCCTGCCAAGCCAGGGTGGGCAGACAGGTTCTAGGGGCTTGGTCCCAGGCAAAAAGTATCAGAGTGATTCTGAAGGAGAGGTCCTAGAGAGGGCAGCCAGGAAGCCCTTGAGGAGGAGGGTCTGACCCTCAGACCAGAGAGGACAAAGAGTCTTAGGTACCTAATGAATTAGGGTAAGGATTGGCCAGTCATGGCTCAAGGCTAAGTGCAGTCTCTTCCTGTTTCTGCAGAGGTCCTGCTGGGTCCTGGCATAGCCATTAGTTTATAGGCCAGCATGGGCTGGGCTGCACAGGCAGAAACGAGGGGCTACCACCAGGACAGCAAGGCCTGCAGCCTGAAGTATTTACACTCTGATCTTTTACAGTAAAAGCTGGCTGGTGCCTGATCCAGTGCTCAAGGCTTCCCTGAGGAGCGATGTGAGGAATTCTAGGTTAGTGAGTTGGCTCCCCGAGACATGATAGCCTTCCTAACTGGCTTGGCAAACGGTGCCCAGCTCTCCTACCCTCAGAGGTATTCATGGAGTTCCTTCATATATAGAAGCCTCAGGGAAAGGCTGAGCAGCTTAACGTGTTGTTTATCTTACCATTCCCTCAACTTGTTTGATCAGTCAAGCCTGGGTTTCCTATGAACACCTTTCAACATCCCGAGGGGCTGGTGCTCGGTGCACACCCCAGGCAAACACTGTTGGGTGGAGCCAACGGCCTGAGTTCTTGGCCGATCCCTGCCAATAAGCGAAGTGGCCTTGGCCAAATGGTGTGCCTGCCAGGGCCTGCTCACCTTGCTGCCTGCATGGGACAAAGAAATCTCTCCTGCCTCTGCTATGAGTTTTTCAGGCAGGTCCTTGAGATGGTTTAGTGTGGAGAGATGACTGGGGTATTGAGGGTCTCAGTGAGCCTTTCTGTTTTGTCATGTTACTCAGCAATGGTGAGGAGGAGAAGGCACTAGACCAAGGTCACGAGTTCTCTTTTCTAGTCCTTACTCTGCTGTCAATATGTGGGTTAAATCAATGACTTTAAACAAGGAACTTGCCCCATGAGGCCTCTGTTCCCTCTTTTCTCTTAGGGTTTTAGGCTGATTAGTCTGTAAGGGTCTCTGAGGTCTGAAAATTTGTGATTGCATTAGGCTAGGTGCATGCAGCTTCCCACACCATCCCACACAACAGGTGTCTCTCACAAACCATGGAAACCGCATCTCTGATATTTGGTACAGTAGACTCTGGGTGTAGAAACAGAATTAGTGAGGTATTACTGAAAGATTGCAGATGCTGCTGACAACTCAGAAATGGTGTTAGGGTTTCTAGAAATGTCCTCCTGACAATGCTTAGTTCAGCATTGGAAACTCTTTCCCTTCTGCTTCCCTTGCTCCCAGGTTCCTCTGTCCAAACACAGACAGTGTGATAACACATCTGGCAAGGGGAAAGAACAGTGGTGGTTCTGGAAAAGGCATAGGCATCAAAGTAGAGTGAAAGTTCCCCAGCAGACACGAGGTGACATGCTTAGAAGGAAAAATGCACATAAAATTCCTCTCCTTTGTCCCCCACCCTACCCCCAAATCATTTTCCAACTTTGTTATTAGTCCTTGACATCAAGGATTCATAAGCAATTGAACAAGAGGACTTTTATAAAGATGGTGAAAAGATTCTGAAAACTACCCTCCTCCCTCATGAGTTTAGGAAAATCCCAGAAAATCTTTACTGGGTCACAAGGCCTACAGAATAACCAGTCTGAGTTGAAATGTGGAGTATTATTTGAGCAATGGATGCTCTTTCCTTTGTCTCAGTGCAGGGACCGCTTACTGGAAGGACCATTTGGGAGACTCCCAGCTGAAGAGCAGAGACCCAGGCCATCCAGAGCACTTGCCTGGGTGGGTTTGTAGAGGCCACAGAGCCTGCATCTTTCCAAGCAGCCAATCAATAATGAATTCTTTTGGAGGTTCCACTGAGTTGAGAATTCTCTGGGTGCAAATAGTTTGTATTCTAATATAGCCCACTAAACAAGTAGCCTGACAGAAAGCAGGAACATACATCCTAGGTCTTCTATATTGAGACTACCTGAAGATGACATAAAAACCTCCAGACCCAGACCATAATGGGGTCTCTCTTGAAGACCCACACTCTATTTTCTCACCTGCATTGTTCCTTAGCTCTTCCTAGTATGTTTCTCATTGATATATCCAGCAATTTCTTTCTGTAGCATAAGTACAGAACCTGCATCTGTGTGGGGTGAGTTAAAGTCACCATCTCTTTCAAAGGACCTCTTTATACCCTGTGTAGTGACATGTGAACATAGGGTGATGAATAAAACACTATTAGTGCACTGAAGGAGCTTAGACTTTACTTAAGCAGACAAGATTGGAATACTGGCGTAGACATCAGTGTGAGCATTAGGCACAGTACTGACAAAGATTGGAAAGGGGAGCACTCAGAGAGGGCTGGGGATGGTGATGGAGAAGTTGTCATCTTCCACAGTGACTGGAAGGCCCTTACATTCTCAGACATCCAGGAATGGAAATGGCACTTTCCCTGGTGACCTTTTTCAGTGTTCAGCTGAAGCCGTTTGCTCTGAGCTGTACTGTCACCTTCGGCTATGAGGTCCAGATGGTCACAGCTGCTTCTCCAGGTGCAGCCCCAGCTCTATCAGCATCACTCCACCCAGGCAGAGGAAGGATGTGAGAAGCTGGAGTCATGGAGGCACCTGGTCCTCCTCCTTCCTTTATGACTAAGGCCTTTATCTCCCCATTGCTCAGGGTCCTGGGTCCCTCTTCAGGATGGTCAGGCTGTCTTGGAGGGGAGAAGGAGGAGGAAGAGGAAGAGGAAGAGGAGGAGGAGGAGAAGGACTCTGCAGTGTCCTCCCTTCCACATTGGGCAGTTGGTCTGGTTGGAGGTTCAGCTCCAGGAAGCGTGTCATCTGAATCAAGGTGACTTTTGGTGTCCTTTCTGCTTCCTGAGCTGCAGACACATGGAAGGCTGTGAAGATTCTGGGGTAGGCTGTTCTGGCTCTGACTCCCTAAGAACACTTTCACCTGCCCCAAGCATGTGAGAACTCACCACAGACGGGTTGAGCCCTTAGAGCTACCGTGGCTGTGCCAAGTCTTTGGGGCCCAGCTCTGAAAACCTCAACTTTTCCTCTTCCTCCCAGAAAACCTCACCTTTTCCACACCCTGGAGCCCAAGCTTTAGGAGTATTTAAACCTAACACAGTGCTATTAGAGAATATCAGTTGGCCCTAGAAAAGGGAGCCTAGGACAGAATTTGGTCCTATGGCTGGGCTCTGCCCTCTGCCCTCTGCCTCTGCCTCTGAAGTTGCATATATAGCTCCATCCCTGGCTAACATAGGTCTTACCAATCTCCACAGATCTTCTCCTTGAGCTGCTACTGAGATAGAAAGGCTGAAGGAGCCAAAGCCAAATGTGGTTAAATGGCTCAGACTAGAATTAACTCTGCTGTAGTCAGAAGTCCTAGCACTGACTCAAGCCCACCCCAGCCCCGAGGGGACAGTGTAGGACCCAGCACACCTTTCCCCAGCCTTGGAGGTACTTAAGCACACTCACAGCTCCTCTTCCTCCAGAGCCTCTTTTTCAGTAGCACCAGAGCCACAAGCAGAAATGGGGCCAGCATGACGAAGGATGGAGTCAGGATCCGAGAGCCACTTTCAGCTTCTGCAAAGGCACTGGAAGGAGCCAGGGCAGGATGGGAAAAGCACAGGAAAAAGAGGTTGGAACGAGAGACTAAGAGTGTTGGCCCACAGTCCCCTTTGTCTCACAGGTGGAGAAGCTGAGGCAGGTTGGCTGCTCCCAGCACCAGGGATGGAAGAATCAGAACTGGGCTTAGAAGTGCTGTTTTCAGGTTCGCACGCCCCCAGCCCTTGGTCCTCCTCTCCCTTCCTGGATGTGGGCTGCGCTGAGCAAGGGAACAAGTGAGGGTCAGGGACTCGGCCTTGCCACTGGGCTCCACTATGACTTTGCCTTGTGATTTCAGTGCTCCCCTCTCTGGAGCATCTGTTCTTTATCTTCAAGGTCTGGAATGTTCCAGCCTAAGAACTTGACCATTCTGTTATTTAGATGGTGCTTGCAAACTGCAGCAGAATACACAGGTAGCATCCTCCCCACCAGGGACCCAGTGTGCAGGGTATAGGGTGTCTGATGTTGGTCCCTTTACTGTCCTGCAGGCACAAAGGGAGAGAACTGAGCAGAAGGGAGGGGAGGGCAAAGCCTTGGCTCCAGTCCAGGGAGGGGCCTGGGGCTCACCTCTTCCTGGATGCCCCTTTGCCAGAGGGCCTCTGGGGACCTGCTGCCAGGCCCTTGCTCGGCCTCGCTCGGGGACCTTGGCCTCTAGCTACGCTTCTTAGGTCCTCCTCAGTGCTTCCTTCCACAGATGCTGTCTCTCTGTGGGTGGTGTTCAAGGTCCGTGGACCAGCAGCTGGCGTTGCTCCTTCCGTGGAGCCCAGGGCTGGTTGCTTAGATACTATAGTTGCTTCTGGTAGCATTTCCTGGGCCTGGGCTGATGGCCAAGTGGTTCCTGTGGTCTTGCTGGCTGCATCCACAGCTATCTCAGTCCTCTCTGTTTGTTCCCCTGGCTTACTGGCCTTAGTAGTTGTCCTCTCTTTTCCACCCTCCCTGACCCTCACTGCCTTTGTGACTAAGCTTCCAGAGCTCCATCCCCAAACATCCTCTGTGGTAGTGGACGTGCTGCTGAGCTGTGAAACTGGACTCTGTGGGGTGGGGACTGCTGCCATAACAGAACCCTCAGTACCACTGTCTGTCCCTAGAGTGACCGCCCTGACTGTTACTGGGGTTTGACTTCTTTCAGCTGAAGCTGTGGTTTTTCTGATTTCTGTAGTTGGAGCAACTCTGTCCCATTTTGTCCTTTGTCCTTCTGGAGTCTGGGTGGCTCCTGAAGACCATCTTTGGGCCCTTGGTGATGCAGTTCCAAAAGATTCCATGAGGAATTTGCCAACAGTGGGAGGGACTGTGGGGAGGGAGCTGGAGGAACCTGTGATAGAGAGGGAGAGCATGCACAGAGGCTATCCAGGTTACCGAGTGGGTTCAGCAAAGGGCACTGGGTTTCAGATGTTTGCCAAACAACAGGCTATACTCTCATGAAGAGATACAGTGTTCGGGCAGTACACTGGGATAAAACAGAAAGGTCAGAATCCTGGATATATTCTCTAGTCTGATGTAAATATTGGCATTTTATACTATTGCCTTCTCTCAGGCTCTTATACTCTCTGTCCTGCTGTCCCAGGTCCCCAAGCTTCTGCTTTCTCCAGAAGCCATAGACCATCAAGCTCTGCTCTTGGGGAAAAGGAAAACAAGCGTTGCAGCTCCCGAAGACCAGCCAGTGGTGGCAGGCAGGGACAGCAGCATCCAGGGAAACCCACCTGCCTTCCTAGCGAGCCAGTCCTGGCGGGACGTGTCTTCTGCAGAGCGGCTTTCACAGTCTGGAGGCCCTGCTTGCACTCAGGGTGCCTACCCTGGGCCACACCTCCAGAACCTGCCTCCCAGGGCCTGAGCCTAGGAGCTGCCTGATGTCCACAGGGGAACTGAGCAAGGGTCGGTCACAAAAGAGGTCATCCCATCTCTTTCCTGTCTATCACGCTGCTCTGCGGGGCTAACCCTGAGCTCCACTATGTTCCTCTCATGACCCTAAGATGCCATACTCACTGTCTTCTGGGAACTATCTCTAAATATATATTTCCACAACATCCAGGGTTAGGATAGAGGGTCAACTTGATTGGCTTTGAGGTATTCCCAAAGGCCAGTGGAGCACCCGTGCGGATGTGCCAAGCGGGTTATGGAGGGCGGTCTAGGTCTCATCCCTTCCTCTCCGGAACTGTCCCCTGCTCTGCTTTGCAGCCCCCATGAGCCTGGCATCGTTGCTCTTCCAGACCCTTCCGCCATGATATTTCTGCTTTGGAGCTGGCTCATCATGGACCAAATCCTCAGAAACCATGAGCCAACTTCAACCTCTCTTCCTTAATACTGTGGGTGTCAAGTGCCACACTCCGGCAACAGGAAGATGCCTAATAAACAGGTGCTGGCAGGGCTGGGCGAGAGTTTGTGTGCCCTTGGTTGGCTTTTCCTAACAGCTCTCTACTTTCTGCAAACAGCCTCCTTAGAGGAAATGCATCTTCTCAGAGACATTACCCTGGCCCAGCCTTTCCACTCGCTCCTGTAAGGTCTAAAGCTTCCTTTGCACTCCAACTTCCTCTTGCCCCTCCTGCCTCCTAGCTTGGGTTTCTCCAAATACAACCCACTGGCTGTCAGCTCTCACCTGCAGAGACTGTCAGATTCATGCTGAAGAACAGCCTGTTGTTGCTGTCCCCAATGCCGCAGCGGTAGTTTCCCTCATCATCCATGGATAGTTGGGACAGCTTCACTATAAACAAGCTGCTCTGTGGGAAGTCTGCTAGAGCCACACGGCCACGGTAGCCACGGTGGATGTAGCGGTTGGTGGACACGACGGTGTGGCAGGTCCATATTGGAGGCCTCACACGGCACCAGTACTTCCTCTGGTGCCTGTTGACTGACAGGGGGTCGTAATGGCACTGGATGGTGACAGCTCCTCCGAGCTCCCCAGATACCAGTCGTGGGCCCTTCAATGCATTTGTAGCTGCAGGTAGAGAAAAGAGCTGAAGGTGAGGAGCAGGCAGGTCCCCACTGTTTGGGGAATTACAAGGCAAACTCCACTCGCTTGAAGGTAAGAAGACAACACTTGGAACATGAAGCAGAATTAATATAGAAATGGCAGCATTTAGCTATGGAGGAAGCAGGAATTTCCACAAGATATGGAATGGAACAGGCTTCCAGGCTCCACCTGTAAGACAGCAGAACCTCGCCCACTATTGCCCCAGCTCTGAGGACTGAACCCAGGCCCTTCCATCACAAGCACTCTACCGCTCTGCACCCTTCCCCTTTTCTTTTAATTATAATTTTGAGTTGAGGTTTTCTTAAGTTGAACATGGTAGCCTCAAACTTGTGATCCTCCAGCCTCAGCTTCTCAATCAGCTGGGATTGCCAGTATGTGCCACCACCCTCCGTCCCTGCACACTGTTCTGCTAATACTTGTCAAATGCTAGGTTTTTCTCAACAAATTCATCCAGACTGTGGGTTCATTTCACTGTGCTTGAATGCAGATGATGTTGTCTCAGCACCCAGAAGAGGGCAGAAGCAACGTCTGGTTTGCATGGGATATAGAAGAAAGATGCTAAGCCAGCTGAACACATCAGCCTGCTCTTCCTCTGAAAAGGAGAGGGTCCACGGAACACAAGGATCTTGCTCTGCTCGGTGGGGTACACATCCCTAGACCAGTAGCTGCAGTTTTTCACAATGATCACTTTTCTGGAGAAGCAAAAAGCCAAACATAGGTAAATTCAGATCTGTGCAAGAACAGAGACACATATGCATACATGACTGCTTGGGCAATAGCCTAAAGACAATTCATTCTTGAGCTACAGAATACAGTCAGCTTACAGAATGATTTTGACCTGATGGTGCACAAACAGAGAAAAGGCTCCTTGTCTCTGATGGCCTCTTCATAATGTTCTCTGCTCCTTGATGAAATCTCAAGTATCATCTCTTGCCTATAGTTTTTATTGTCGTCTTGGATAATAAAAACTCCAGTCTAGGGCCAGTCTAGGGAGATGGCTCAGTGGAATAAATGCTTCCCTGGCAAGCGCAAGGGCCTGAGTTCAATCCCTGGTTCCACAAAAAAAATAAAATAAAGTCCAGTCTAGTTTAACATTGTATATCTGGTTCAGTCAGAAGAAAGATTGCCCTCGAGTAACTTAGCTAGTTGGGACATTTTTCCTTTGGAGACCTACTAGGGAGGAAGTGGAATTGGGTCCTATGCTTCTCTTTCTCTTTCCTCTACTCAAGGCTGCAGTTTGGGCCCCTCCAGGGTGGGCATAGGAAGGAGAAAGGTGAACAGATGTAATCCGACAGTGCTTTCTGGTGTGGCAAATGTCCAAAATAACCTCTTCTTTTGCTCTCCAGATACCATTTGGTGGCTTCTGGCTGCAGTCTCTTCCCTAGGGGGTGAGCGGTCCTTCTGCTGACCTGGTATAGCTACCACCACCCAGCCCATGGTTTCTAGCCATCTGCCGCCCTTCTGTTAGTGGTCACAGTCCCCTCCGGGTGCCCATGAGGTGGAGGCATGGGTGGCACAACTTTATCCTGCTATTGAAGAAACCTGGGACATATAACAAACATGGGTGTCTTTCTAGAAGTTCCTTCTCTTATTTTGCCTGAAGTGAGGGGGTATGATCTTTCCAGCCTCCAAAGATGGAGGAAGGGAACACAACATGCTGACTGCTTTGTCCAGAACACTCTCGTGGAGGGGCTCTGACTCCAAGGAGTCCCACCTAGCGGCCCAGATGGCTGCATGGAGGACCAGTGCTGGAAGAAGCTTTACAGTCTCTGTTTACAGTCCTACAAATTGGTTCAACGTTTTGCTTTGGGGTATGTGTGCCTCATGATTGGTTCTAGGCATTTAGGCTCTTGGAACCCAAACTAAAGAATTTGCACATCTCAGTGCAAGACCTGAGTGCAAATTAGAAGTGCGTGTGAAAATGTGAGACCCTTTGTTCAAAAGGTCTTAAGAATTTTATGTGGCGGCAGCAGAGAACAAGCCAAGCACGCGAGAGAATAGGGTCTCCTGTGACCTGCCTACGCTGTGTGTCTGGAGGCTCAGTAACAGGAAAATGAAGGCCGTGTACGCTATGGTCATATGAATCTCATTGTAGGCTTAATTAAGCAACACAACCCAATCCATGCAACTAGCAAGCAAGTAATTTATCAACAAAGGATGAGAAGGCTTACTATCACAAGCAGGTCATCTGAGGACAGCTATGGTGATGCTGCATTAAAGTGTTTAGAGCCCAGATTTTAGGAGTTTTCATGCTCTCCATGTGTCACATTTGAGATGAGTATACTCTCACTAATCACTTGCACAAGGCAGTCTGACTTCACAGGAGAAAGATGACTAATTTTCTTGTAGTACACATAATTTTTTATTAATATCTAATACTTTAAAAATGTATTTGATAAGTCATAGTCAGTAACTCTTGGTATTAGTTAATAATTAAGAGTTTGAGTTTTTTTTTTTAATGTGACATTAGTCACTTGTGTGAATTAAAGAGCAGTCTAGCATTTTAGGAATAAAACAGTGGTCCAAGGAGTCTCATGCCAATGCTTCCCCTCACTGGAGTGGGTACTCCTGGCTCCATCAGCCACTACCATGCAGCTGTCAGTTGCTATGGCTCCCTCCAGGGAGGGGTGAGTGACCCCGGGAGCTGGAGGGAGGCTATGGGTGGGCTGCGGTGGAGGAAGAAGGGCTGCAGCAGGACATGGGAAGGAAGGGCCTGTACTGTGAAGGAGCTCTGCTCCCGCTAGCAGACGGTTGAGGAACATGGGAGGGCTTATGTGGCGCAGAAGTGGCTCCCAGAGGGACCAGCCCACAGCCATCTGAGATGGGGTTCTCTGTATGGAGGGGCCCAAGAAGAACCTGGGCCAATGGAGGAGCTGAGCTGTCAGGGCCATGGATGTCCACAAAACATCCGCAGAAGAAGAGGTACAGCGGCAGCTCGAAGCCCCCACAGGGCCATCCCACCTGGTGTGAGACGCCCGAGCTCCCGTCTCCTCCCTTCCGCTGTCTGAACACTTGAGGTTTCACACATCTCATTTGGAGCTGTATGTCCGCAGGAAAATCATGGAATTGCCTGGGGGCAGGAAAAGTCTATTTTTATAGAAAAATTTTAAAGGAGAAATGGGAGGATAAAACATAAAGGTGGGGTGATTATATCAAATAAGAGTAAGAGTACTTGCTCAGATAGTAGATGCCTTGATTAAGACTTTGGTTGATATCAAACTTGGTTAAACTCTTTCTGCTATTATCATGACATTTTGGCCCATTCACTAGTCCATTCAGTGATTATTTGTTAGGCATCTGCTTGGGACTAGAGTCTAGGCAATGCATGCTCTAGATACGTACCCTATCTTCCTCAATGGCTTCCCATAGCCGTAAGAATAAATCTTGATAGCACTGCATGGAGACAGGCTCACTGTCACCTTGGCAGCCTCACCATTCTTATCTATAGTGATCTTTAGAGTAGGGATCCTGGCTTCCATTTATCTGTCTCCTGTGCCAGACATGTAGTCAGCTCTTCACAAATGATATTAAATAAATTAGAAAGTAAAGACAATTTTTATTTACCCATATAGTTTCTTTATAGAAGGAACACTGAAGGCCTTGCAAGTAAGACTTTGTAGGATGAGTGGAAAGGAGCCTTTGCTACTTCTGACTGTCATGTAGCCCCTGACTCTCTGCCCAGGGCCCGGCCTGCCACTTCCTGTGTCCACCAGGAGAGAAAGGCAAGGCAGTGTAGACTCTGCCTCAGACCCTCCAGGGATCTCAGCATCTTGGAAGAGTTGGTCTGGTTCTCAGCCCCTGATTCTGGGCCGCCTGTGAGACTCACCTCGGAGCAGACACAATACGAGGAGGAGGAGAAGCAGGAATGGTGTTCTCCACTCTGCCCAGCGGTTGATGACCTGCAAGGAACACTGCCAATGGAGCCAGGAGCACAGCACAAAGGTGAGAGAAGTGGGGGCAGGCAGCAGTGGGACTTGGGCTGAACTCTTCTCACTTTAGAGTCTTGGTCTGCTCAGAGTGGGAACAGCATTGGATGAATCTGAGGGCCCCTCTGGGAAAGGGTGGCCCTGTTTTCACTCAGCAAGCACGTTTGGCTTGGCTGCCACCACTATGGCCAAGGTCCCTTCTTCCTGAGGCTTCTGTGTTCCAGAGACAAAACTCCTCCATATGATTCCCACACCAGCCTTTGCTTGCCTTCACAGAGTCTGGAAAGGCCACATGTTGGCTGGAGTTACAGGTTCTGGGAAGACTAGTTTTGGGCCAGTGAGAGCCTGTGTAGGGTTGTTATCTTACAAGGTAAAGGCAAGCCGTGGTCCCTGTGCCTGTGGTGCAGAGCCATCCCCTCCCTCCTCTCCTCACCCCTTCTTCCTTGTAGAGGGGACTGCAGCTTGGGGGATGCCTTCTGTCCCACTGTTAAGTGTGGCCTATCAGAAAGGAGTTAAGATTAAACCTCTGGTCAAGTAGCTGCCATGCCCCAGTACCCCTCTGTTTCATCTGCACTGTTCTAGAGTGTATTCCTTGTCCCAGTCCAACTGATCTACGCTGTTTGGTTCTCTCTCACTGGCTGGGGGACCTCTTGAGTACAGGACCCTTGGGCTCACCCTTCACCTTCTTGAAGCAGGATCCAGCACACTGTGGGTGTGACTCACAGGATCCCAGCCCTTTTCGAATGCACAACATCAGGGTCACTGCTCAAAGGCCTTTGCTGCATGCTGATTAAAAAGAGATTGCACATTATATTGTATTCTCCATACAGTGTTCAAGAGTGCTTTTGAATTGATTAAAAATTGTCCTTTGAATCTTTTACTTCCTGGCTATAGTTTTTGGAACCTGCAGCTGGTCCCTCCCGTTTCTTTCCTGCTGCAGTAATGTGCTGCACGGAGGCTAAGGACAGGGGCTTACAATATCCACAGTAGCTGTCCTGTGGAACCAGTGAGGTGCCTCGGTGGGGGAGTGCATAAGGAGAAGGCTCTGTACACACACTGTGCAGCTCTGTTCAGCCAGAAGGAATAGACTCATGGTGTTTTCTGGAAAATGGATGGCACTGAAGCTCTTCATGCTAATTGGAATTAGTCAAACTCAGAAAGACAGGTTTCACCTGTTTTTCCTAGTAAGTAGAATCCAGAAAAAATAATAATAAAATAAAATAAAAAGGAAGAGATAACACTAAAATAAAAGGGAGACTAGGAGAGGATATATGTAAGAATAATGGGGGATGAGTCTGATCAAAACATACCATATGTGCGGGTGAAAATGCCACAATGAAGCCCAATCAGCCGTAAAACGAATAAGAACAGGTGCTTACAGGTGATGGTTTGGCCCCTGCTCTCCAGCTAGAGGAGGCCACGCAATGCCACGGCCAGTTTGGGACACAGACTGTGCCCAAGAGGGTCAAAAAAAGGAGAAAAGGAAATGGGAAGAAACAGGCAGATGGTAGGAAATGGGCAAAAGGAAGGAGGGTGGGGAAGAGAGCGGAGCAGGGAGGAGAGAGCTGCGCAGAGGCTCTGGCCTGCAGCCACGACTCGTCAACTGGCTCAGTGCTGTCCAGCTGTCGCCCTCAGGCCTTGTCTGGCTAAGCCCTGTGAGTGGTCAGATTTTGAAAAGTACTCAGGCTTCTCATAGCTCATAACCCAGCCTTTGGTGGGTCACTCTCTTGGGCCCTGCCATAGCAGCTCCAGCCCCAGCTGGAAACTGTCCTCCTGATGCTGTTCTGAGCAGGCCTGCCCTTCAAGCCTCCTTGGTCAGTATTCGCCCAGCCCAGGGCATCTCTGGGGCTGGCTCTTGTTCACTTTCCCAAAGTGCCAAGTCCTAACGCAGCACAGATTGGGGCCAAAGTCCCCGTGTTATATACCACCTTGTTCCTTGGAAGCCTTGTGGTGTAAATATATCTCTGCTTCAGGAGCAAAAGCCACCACCAAGGGGCAATGAGGAAGCTCAGAGTGCAAGATAAAAGGCTTCCAGAGAGTTATCAGCCTTGATTGGGGGAATGGGAAAGATATCATTCAGAAAAATGTCTCCACGGTACCCTCCCTGACAATGACCTTTAGAAATCCTTTCTTCAGGAGACGGGAAGTACTACACTGAGGTCTGGGCCTGCAGTCTCCATTAGAGCATGTTGTGTTTTAATGGATCGGCCTCATTGGGAGCTCTTGCCATTGAAGCCCTGCTGGGAAGCACTTCATCTCCAGCACAGGCTGATGTGTGACTTCCCTGTTCCTCGCTGTCCCTCTGAGCTCCCTCTGTCCTGCCTCTGGAAACAGACAGGATGGGAACAGGGCGAAGATGGATAGAGGGAAAAGCATAGAACTAGAGGTTCTGCTCTGCCTGAGGCTGATGCAGCGACTCAGACTAATTTTCTATTCTTTCCCACCATGAAAGAGCCTTGTGTGTATAGTCTGTAAGTTTCTTCTCTTTCTAATGAGTACTGGCTCTTCTCACATGGGTTTTCAAAGGAACCATTCATCCTGATGGGGCCAAGCAGAAGAGGAGGACGGAGACAAGGTGGCCTGAACCTGGACACTGAGAAGGAGCTCGCCCTCCTTGAGGAGAACCAGGGGCACATGTAATGCCTGCTGCTGCAACACCCCCGACCCTGCTGCATTCAGAGCAAGACCCCCAACATCCAGGAGAAAATCTCCTCTCACCTTGCATTCTCTGGTCTTCCATGGGGCTTCTCTATCCATCTCTGTCCAGCAGTAAGATCCCTTTGGACTTTTATCCTAGGAGATGCTGGTGCTGGGATGTCCTTTAGTCCAGGTCCTACGAATCTGGAGATGGAGAAGCAGTGTGGTGCACTGCATAGCAGCAGAAGGTGGCACTAGAGGAGTGGGGACCAGCGGAACACTGCTACTCACCTCCCTGCCTCTTGTATCCGGTCCCTCTCTCTGGGTCTCATTACTTAGAAGAGGAAGCCATCCTGGCTCCTGCTTGTGCTTACTGTCCCCTGTTCCTTCAGAACTTTTCAGGGGTGGTGATGGTGATGTTTCCAGGAAACATCCCAATCCACATTCCCTTCCAGGGCAGGGTTCCTGGCTTTTTAGGAGGCTCAGCTTAGCCAGCCCACTCAGGGATCTCCAGAGTAAGTGATGAAAGCACCTGGGCAGGAAAGAGGGGAATCTTCAGGATTCAGGAGAGGAATTCCCCCATTTTCCTGGCAGTTGTTGCCTCCTGGCTGACCTGACCCCTGCAGTTCCCATGAAGAAGCGATTTGGGCCATTTGGGTCACTGCCTCCAGCTTGCCTGGCTTATTTGGTGGTTACTTATCCATGCTTTGGACAAAGAGGGATTCAATAAATGTGATGATCATTGCAGAGAGAGGGCACAGATAAGCACGGCTTCTCCAAAGGATGACACACGTAAAAATACCCCAGGAATTCCCTGTGGGATCAGTCTATGGGGCATTCATTTCCTTGTAAAGGATGTCTTCATCCTGCCCCTACTGGTCTCAAAGCAACAACTGGCTGAAGTCGAGACCCTCTCCCGGCCCCCCATATGTAATGGCATCCTTGGGCCAATTAAAAAGGACCCCAGAGGGGATGGGGAGAAAGCTCAGTAGAATAAGTGCTTGTCTGGCAAGTGCAAGGGCCTGTGTTCAATCCCTGGTTCTGCAAAAAAAAAAAAAAAAAAAAAAAAAAAAAAAAAAAGGACCCCAGAGAACATTGTCACCCTGTTCCCTGTGTGGAGAACATGTTCTCCGTGTATTGCTTCCTGTTTGAAGACAGGTGGGGGCAGGACTGAGTCAGGGAAGCAGGTGGGGGGAAGAGACAACTCCACTGGTGCTTGCAGTACAGTGCGAAGGGGGCAGATTGGGCATGTGTGTGCCCAGCTCTGTGTGCTGCTGTCCAAGGACTTAGACTCCCCAGTGTTAGGTCTGGGTCTCCATCCCCGCCTGCAGCTTCCCATGTAAGTCAGCGCACATCTATGGCATGGAAGGCACCCCTTAGGTGAGGTACCCTTGCACAGTCTACAGCCTGCAGAGCCATGTAAGGTGGCCCTGACTCCAGAGGCTCACCCCAGGTGGCATGATTCTCAGGTGGGCTGTGGAGAGGTGCCTAATGCCTGGAGCGATTCTACCCTTCCAGATCCTCACAGGATGGAAGCATATCAGGTCTGAAGTCAGATTCTCCTCATCCCCCAATTTGTATGGAAAAAAGACACAGATTAGGTTATTTATTCTTTTATTTTTTCATTTTAAAGAGAAAAGAATTCAAAACAAGGTAATAGAGTAACAATGATTAATACATTGCATATTATTAGTTATTAGATTAGTTATTCAGAGTACAAGACACCAGCATTTAATTGTACAAACAATATTAGCACAAACGCTTCTCTTCAATGAGCTAAGAGAAATTAGTAGTATAGCCATCTTTGCTTTTTCCCTTCCTTCCCTCTTTACTCCTTTCCCCATCCCAATTTCTCTTTCCTTCTCAACAGTTGCTTCTCATTTTACAGTATCTGTTGTACATGGTGGATCTTATATATGCTTTCAGCCTCTTACACTAGGGAGGCAACATGATGTTTACTTATGTGAGTCTGACCTATTTCACCTTTGAGTATGGCCTGGAGTTGCATCCATTTACTATGAACGTCTCCAGTCTATCCTCTTCTATGGCTGAGTAGTGCTCCATTGTACAAAAAGGCCATAGCTTTTCATCTGTTCATCTGTTGTTGGGCTTTTGGGCTATTTCTAAGCTGCAGCTATAGCAAGTCATGATGCTATGGGTGCACATGCATCGGTGCAGTATGATGTTTTTAGTTCTTCTTGGAAGATACCCAGAAGGGGAATAGTTGGGCCAAATGAACCTCCAATTTTATTTTATTTTAACTTTTATATTTTAGGAAAAGGTCTACAGGGTGTTCAGGGTCTTACTACTAGATCGGATTCATAGTGATCTGCCTGTTTACAGCCTCCCAAGAGCTGGGATCACAGGTGCACGCCAACATGCTCAGTCTCAATTGCCGTCTCAGTGCACCCCAGGAGTGGGGCCAGCATG